TTTTTTCTGTTAAGGGGACAGGACAACTTCACCGCATCAAAGGGACGATGGACGGGGCCATGTACCGTCAAATCTTGGGTGAGAACCTCCTTCCCTCAGCCAGGGCACTGAAAATGGGTCGTGGATGGGTATTCCAGCATGACAATGACCCAAATCACACGGCCAAGGCAACAAAGGAGTAGCTCAAGAAGAAGCACATTAAGGTCCTGGAGTGGCCTAGCCGGTCTCCAGACCTTAATCCCATAGAAAATCTGTGGAGGGAGCTGAAGGTTCGAGTTGCCAAAGGTCAGCCTCGAAACCTTAATGACTTGGAGAAGATCTGCAAAGAGGAGTGGGACAAAATCCCTCCTGAGATGTGTGCAAACCTGGTGGCCAACTACAAGAAACGTCTGACCTCTGTGATTGCCAACAAGGGTTTTGCCACCAAGTACTAAGTCATGTTTTTCAGAAGGGTCAAATACTTATTTCCCTCATTAAAATGCAAATCAATTTAAAACATTTTTGACATGCGTTTTTCTGGTTTGTTGTTGTTGTTATTCTGTCTCTCACTGTTCAAATAAACCTACCATTTAAATTATAGACTGATCATTTCTTTGTCAGTGGGCAAACGTACAAAATCAGCAGGGGATCAAATACTTTTTTCCCTCACTGTACGGGTTATCTGCCGCTGGATAGTGATGACGATGATAATGATTAAATCAACTACTTTTGCTGTGGTTGATCACTCGAGCCACGTTTTTTAAAAGGCCCTGACATCCTGCCTCCTGAAGGCGGGAAACCCCCCACAAGCCACACACAGCGTGACGCGGCTGATAATGCCGACGAGTCACAAAGCCCTGCCCATAACCTCCCGTCCAGCGGCACACGTGGGAATGGAGGTGAGGCCTTTTACGACCGACCCGTGGGTTTTTTCCCTCTCTCGCGTTATCCGTGATTAGTTAAATATTGCATTCTTTAATTATTATGCTTGCTTACCCAGCAGTATTATGATTTAATAATACTGTTGGAGGGTCCTGCCAGGTTTTCGCAGTGTCGGATAGGGGTGTTGGGGGACGGGGGGGGGTGATGGTTGCTGTGTAGATTCCAATTGAGTGGCGTGCCAGTAATTTGTCAAATGTGAAAACGCCGGCGCTGGCAAACAATGGCTTAACCCTTGCGAATTACATCACGGGGGTTCTTCAACGTCGCAGTCTTAAATCAAAAGTGGTTGCTGAATTCGAACCGTAAGCCTCTACAGATAAAGGGGGTGGGTAACAATGCGCTAACCGCTGGGCCGTGTTCACTGCTCCCCGATGCTCCCAGCGATTTTTTGAGATGTCAAGGAGACAGGAACGGGTGCTCGACAAGAGAGACTACCCTGGAGAGGGGAAGGGAAGGAAAAAAAAAACAAGGACAGGTGGCAACGATGGAATTCTCAAGCATAGAGAGAAGCTCGAATAATCGATGCATCGGTGGACAACCAAGAGGTATGAACGAGGACTATCTACGAGACCCTTTTGAAGAGGCTTTTTAGCATTTCCGGCAATAATACAGGAGGTATTCTTAGTTTTTTCGGTAAAGTCACGTTGAAGAGAAACAACAAAATAATAAAATAACTCGAAACGTCGTGAGAATTTTTATTGTTATATATATTATTATTTTGTTGTTTCTCTTCAACGTGACTTTACCGAAAAAACTAAGAATACCTCCTGTACCGAAAAAACTAAGAATATGAATTACTGCAGTCACGAAAGCTTTAAATCAAAATTTAATACAGGAGGTGTTAAGATGTTCAAACATAAAATCTAATTCGGATTTGACCGCAAGGGAGACCCAGGACCAATGTATGTATTCATCACTGATGTTGGTGAGTGGGATTTGAACTCGGTCACCAGGATCGTAGCACAGACGCCTGCCCACTGGTAGACAAACAGGTCGCTTCTGGAAAAGAGCAAATATCACTCAGTGGGTCCTTACCTGGTAAAATAAAATAAATAGTTTTACAAAGTTTACAACTTCACGACGTTAAGCACGAAACGGCCTCCGCTCCCCCCAGATATTTTGCTGCCACTGCCGCGTTTTTATTTATTTATTTGTCCGAAGTAACAACCAAAACAATGGAGGGGGGGGGGCAAAAGAACCCATCACGGTTTAGTTCTTTGTTTTTAAGAAAGAAAGGAGTAAAATAATAATCGTGGCTTGCTCTCGGGCCAAGATCACACGAAGCGGGCTGATATTTTGCGAGCGTCTCCATGACTCTCTAACCAATGTTGTGATCTCTGCGGGAGACTTTTGGCCAACTTTTTTTTTTGGTAAAGAGAGTGAACTTTTTTGGGTGTTTTTAACATCGCCGCTGTTTTTTTCTTCTTATTCTTAATATTTAATATTTTTTTAACGCGCGCACATTTTAGTTGACGCTCGCACAAAGACAAAGACACCCACCCCCCCCACCACCCCATGTAGCCTCAACAGACTGTTGGGGCGCAAGCGCTGTTGGCGAGTAGCGCCTATGAAGGCTGGACAATCACGGCACACGAGCAGGGTGGGTGTGGCCAGCACCACGCCCGGCCGCCTTTGTTTCCCCAGTGGCGATGTTGACTACACACCGCACCCAGGTGCTCATTTGATGTCGAGTCAAACCTGGAGGAGCCCCAGAAACGGGTTCGGATAATTGTCACCAGAGCGGGAATCGAACTCGGGCGGCCGGGTCCATAGCGCGTTGCTCAAAAACACTGTAGCGCTGCTCCCCACCAACGTTGCACGAAGATCCCCCGAGTAGCCTCAACAGACTTCTGGGGCAAGTGCCTGTTAGCGAGCAGCGGCAGCAGCAGCAGCAGCATGTATGAAGGTCGGCACGGCGCACGTGGGTGCGTGTGGGCAGCACCACGCCGCACACAAAGAGACGCACGCACGCACGCTCATAGATTCACGCACACCATTCACATCTGCATCTAATATCAGGCGTGCGCGCTCTGTGGAGACAGGCGGGATGGCCAGTGGGGTGGGGGTGGAAAGGGTAGGAAGGAGAGGTTTTGTACAAACAAAAAAAGAGAATGGATAAAAACTTGGCACGAAGAAAACTCGGAACCCCCCCCCCCCCCCCACGGGGGTGGACGTGCCCTGGCCGCTGGGTTGTGTATGTACTTTATAACGTGGAGGAGGTGGGGGGGCGCATGTGTGTACGTTGAACTTCTTTCGCACCGTACGTAGCCAACCGCGCTCATCGGAGATGTTCTCCATCTGCAGAGACAGCGAGAGAGGGAGAGACAACGAGAGAGACAGCAAGAGACACAATGAGAGAGAGACAGAGATCAAGGGAGACGGAGAGCGAGAGAGACAGCGAGAGACACACTCAGAGACAGAGCGCGAGAGACAGAGAGAGACAGCGAGAGACACACTCAGAGACAGAGCGCGAGAGACAGAGAGAGACAGCGAGAGACACACTCAGAGACAGAGCGCGAGAGAGAGACAGAGAGAGAGACAGACACAGAGATAGAGCGCGAGAGAGAGACAGAGAGACACACACAGAGACAGAGAGCGAGAGACACAACGAGAGAGACAGCGAGAGAGAGACAGACACATAGACAGAGAGCGAGAGACAGCAAGAGAGAGACACACAGAGACAGAGAGAGCCAGAGAGAGACACACACAGAGACAGAGAGCGAGAGAGACACACACACAGAGACAGCGAGACACACACAGAGACACAGAGACAGAGAGAGACAGCGAGCGAGAGAGACCAAGAGAGAAATCGTTTTTTGGACGTGAACTTTGGAAAATGGGGCTGTGGAATAACATCACAGAACAAGTAAAATAAAAGATGTCACGCGCACACGGTGCGCACATCGGCGTGCTAACACGGAGAGAGAGACGCACTCTCTCTTCTTGCTGTTGCGTTCACTTGCCACGTGCTCCTCCGTGCTGAGATTCCAGTCACGGATTATCCACTCCATTGGCTCTCCTCCTCCGCTGGCTCTCTTCGCTGCCCAGTATCGACCTTCACTTCCCCTTGCTGTTTCCAAAGTATCTTCCCTCGATCACCTCCTCACAACTCATTCCCCCTCTCTACCATCACGTGTCCAATCACCTCCTCACAACTCATTCCCCCTCTCTACCATCACGTGTCCAATCACCTCCTCATAACGCATTCTCCCTCACTACCATCACGTGTCCAACCACCTCCTCACAACTCATTCCCTCTCACTACCATCACGTGCCCAATCTATTCCTCACAACTCATTCCCTCTCACTACCATCACGTGCCCAATCACCTCCTCACAACTCATTCCCTCTCACTACCATCACGTGCCCAATCACCTCCGCACAACTCATTCCCCCTCACTACCATCACGTGTTCAATCCAGATGTTCTTCCTCATCCAGAAGGAGCCCACCTGGCGCAGGAACTCTCTCTGTCTCTCTCATTGTTTTTTTTAACCTTTCCACCCAACTTATACATATTTTTTTTCTAAACTTTTCACAGAACCCATATTCGTATCCATGCGGGTGTCATTCCAATCGTGCTGTCGGCGTCGTGCTGTGAAGGGCCAATTCGCAAGAACGGCCCACACAAGCGGATATTACATTACTGCTGCCGAGATCATTTATATTGTATTTCTTTATTATCATTCTGCTTGTTTACCCAGGAAAGCCTCGCCAAGATTCGTATTCGGGGAGGGCCCTGCCAAGTTTTCGCAGTCTGCGGCGATGTTTCCGCTGCCGTGCGACATCCCACTTGGGGGGCAACTCGATACCGGCTGCGTGTGTAGGACCCCGGCAGAAACCCGCGCAACAACAGCGGGGACCAACACAGAAACTCCCGAGCCGGGTATCGAACCCCAGCCGTTCCGTTCTTGCCGCGAGGCAACGAGCGTCACCACTGCAGCGCCCACTGGCGCCCATGCAAGAGAGTGGAGATGAAGAGTTGATAGTGATGATGATGATGACGGCGAAGGCCTTAAACACCCTCTTAACAATCTCACTTGAACAACAACAACAAAAACACCTCCGGGAAACGAACAATTACAGCCACGATTTATTTCAACTGTTACAGCTTCGGTTTGACAATATATATATATTTTTGAAAAATAACATTCGACAATAACATTGCATAGTGCATTGATTAACAACAGGGAAATTAAACGCCGTTTGAACATTTCGCCGAGCGACGAACAAAAGGGGCTAAAACAGTCTCACGTCGACTCCGATTTCTCACTTACAAGGTTGCTGTTGGCGAGCGCCTATCGAGGCAAAGCAGGGCACACAGAAGCTGGGGTTATTGGCATCCAGTAGTCGTCTTTGTCTCCCCCCCCTCCTGTGCTGGTGACACGTGGCATAAGGCACACACACATATCAGGCTGGGTAAACCTGGAAGGCCGTCCACGTGAACTTCAAATGAGAACCGCCATTTGTATTTTTTTATGGCAAGAGAATGAACCCAGATGGCTAGGGTCGTAGTAAACCAAACGGCATCTCACGATCATCGCCCTCTGTCACGATTCTGGGTCGCGATTCGGTTTCGATGATCGGTTGAGAAATCTCTCGGCTGCTTTCTGGGTGTTCGTCGTTACCCGCGCGACGTTTGGCACGACGTCCGGGACGTGCCGCTCCACCACCTGGGCGCTTTTCTTTGGCACGAGGTAGCGAAACGTTAGACATCGCGCCAGACGACACGCGGGTAACGACCCAGAAACGCGTCGAAGAGTTGTGCCGCGCAAAAGTGAGAGAAGAAACTTCGTCCGAATGTCATGGTCTCGTTTGTGTTCTGTGACATCCGTACGCTTTTTTTTCTCTCTCTCTCTCTCGCTTAGCTAGCCTCAACGTAGCACAAGCAGACTATTTGCATAAATCGCGAGTAATCGGTCGTTGTGCACGCAACGCTTTTTTTTGCGCGCGGCTCGAGTGAAATAACCACCAAATAATCGCATCGTTACGTGCCGAGAAAGCAATAAAAAAACACACTAATTCCAGTGAACACAACAAATAATCCTCCATATAACATTACAGGCTGGCGTTGCAAGTGCTGCGTCGGCAAGTACCCACGGAGCCCAGTCCGGCACGGCACACAAATGTGGTGTCGGGGGGGGGGGGGTGTGTGGCTAGCAACCACACCCGGCCGCCTTTCCACGTACAAACGCGCAAACGCGGGCAAAGCTGAACATTTGGACAGCAAATGACTCGGGACAGTTTTAAGTGCTCGATCCGATTGCTTGAAAGGTGACGAACAAAAAATTAAAATTACGAACTTCAAAAGCAACCCCAAAATAACAACACCACGAAGGGAGGAAACTCGTGGTGGTGGCCGCCTCCGACTAAACGGCGTTCTCAAGTATTGTGAGCTCGAGGACGACTGCACGCAGAACAAAATGAAAAATGTCATTTTGGCTTTGCACGCACGGTAAGTGCTCGCTTAGCGCGTGCTCACACAACGTGGTATTTTCCGCTATTACCGAAGACTTTTTGCAGAACGCACACCGTTATAACGTGGTTTTTCTCTTGCACTGCCCCCCCCACCAACTCCCCGGCTATGAACGCCCTGCCCAGTGTTGTGCTGCTCCCTACCCCGCCGGCTATGAACGCCCTGCCCAGTGTTGTGCTGCTCCCTACCCCGCCGGCTATGAACGCCCTGCACAGTGTTTATATTCTACTTATTTATTGCTATGAACAACAGTACCCTGAGTAACTTGTAGAAGGCGCTTGATAAACGCAATTAATTTTCATTATTATAACACTGGGAAGAGACCCAATGTTTTTTAGAAGCCAGTTATTGAACGGGCGCCACGGTGGCGAGATGTTAACTACCTCGCCTGGTGGACAGAAAGTCGTGGGTTCGATCCCGACTTTTACGCCTGTATATTTGGAGTTCGCATGTGTCTCTCTCCCCGTGGGCGTATTTGGCTGCTGCTGTAAATGTCCACACGATGACAAGCCACTCCGTTGAGCTCTCATTTGTGGCCAGGTTGCTTCTGGAAAAAAAAAAGAAGCTATATACCTAGTAGGAGAAAAACGTTGTTTAGTTCATTTTAATAAGACAAAAGTGCAGACAATCCAAGACGGACATAAGAGAAGCAAAGGACAAAGATAAACCCCCCCACCCCACCTCATTCAGAGTCCACAATGATGGGGGGGGGGGGTGAAGGAATATATATTTTTTTAAGCCCCTTAAATTACAAAGTGCAAGAATAACCCAAAACGACCACCACAAGAATGCTCGAAGGCACGGCGCTCTCGCCCTCAGCGCCAGCTGCCCCCAGCCCCCTGAGATTCACCGCGGCTCATTCAGAGCTCGGCGATGGAGGTCGCGTCAGACACAGTGGGGCCCGTGCGTTGGGGTTATTTCGACTATTTCGCCGCTATAAATGCCCACATGATGATGAGGCCACTTTGTTGAGCTATCAATTGTGGCCAGGTCGCTTCTGGAAAGAAAGTTAATACGTTAAATATCGTGTTTTTGTATTGTTTGTCGGAGAGCTGTGCGCTCCTTCCGGACATCTGTGAAAACGAGCTTCATAGCTCATCGGATTCCTCCAGTATAAATAAACATTCTAATTCTGAGTCTGAGCTTCAGGAAAATGTACATGCACCTGTTATAAACAGCATGGTTGGCTGCGTACGGTAGAAAAATTACTCTTCCTTGTTAAGCTAAAGCTCTCGACAGTTTTAGAGACACACCTTGAAGCTATAAACCATATTCTTTGTTTCTGATGTCGCCCTACCCTCCTCCCCCACCTCTGTGGCACCGACTTGGCACGTGGGTGGCGCCATTAAAATGACCGTGGCAGCACTACCCGACACCGAACCCTCGCGCCACCATCTCAAAAATAAAAACGGTGAGTTCTAGATTTAAAGCTTTCGTGACTGCAAGGATCCATACTCTTTGGTTCTATTGGGTAAAGTCACGTAGGTAAAAAATAAAATAACAAAAATCACGACGTTTCGGCCACAACACAAGCGGCCTTCATCAAAAACGGTGAGCCCACAGAGCTGTTTCCCCGCGACTCGAGCTCAAGACGGCATCCGACGCCTACGCACGTCAATTCCACTCGCACAGCCACCCACCCACACGCACGACGGCCTCTTACAGGCTCACGCCTTGCTCACCTCGCCAACTGCAACCTTCAGGCGCCCCAGGCAACGGCGGCGGCGGCGGCGGCATCACCGGCTGTGCTCAGTCGGATTTATTGAAGTTTTCATCTGTGACGCCATGAGCCATTTTCGCTCTCTGCTCACGGGAGCGGCAGTCCGTCACTTCGACCGCGGCCGCCACCGGCGTCGTCGTCTCCGGAACCCTTCCCCCTGAAGCGACGCCGGCGGGACGTCCGACGCCGAAATGCGTCGCGTCGAACGCGCCGAGGATGTCCGGCGCGTCCAAGGAGCTGCCCCGGCCCATTCTCCCGGCGCGATCCGCTTGCCCGCTGGCCGCCTCGCCCCCGTCGTCGCCTCCTGGCGGTCGGCCGCTCGCGCTCCCGCCGGAGGCCGCGAGCGCCGATCCAGTCGTTTCCGTGCCCGTCTCTTCGACGCGCACGGCTTGCTCGTCCGGCGGCTGTCCCGCAGGCGACCCTCCGTTGCTCGCCGCTCCACGATCCTCGGCCGCCGCCGCCGCTGGGCGGCCGCCGGCGTCCTCGCGATCGGCGTCGCGGCCGTCGGTCGCGAGCGTCGCTTGGGGTTCGCTCTCGTCACCGTCGAGCCAAGAATGCGGTGGGGCGTCCGAGGAGGCCTCAACTGCGGGGGGCTGGTCAGTGGGGGGCTCGTCTGCAGGGGGCTGGGCAATGGGGGGCTGGTCTGTGGGGGGCTGGTCTGTGGGGGGCTGGTCTGTGGGGGGCTGGTCTGTGGGGGGCTGGTCTGTGAGGGGCTGGTCTGTGGGGGGCTGGTCTGTGGGGGGCTCGTCTGGGGGGGACTGGTCAGTGGCAGGCTGGTCTGTGGGGGGCTGGTTTGTGAGGGGCTGGTCTGTGAGGGGCTGGTCTGTGAGGGGCTGGTCTGTGAGGGGCTGGTCTGTGGGGGGCTGGTCTGTGGGGGGCTGGTCTGTGGGGGGCTGGTCCGAGCAGCCAGATGCCAACATCCCGCCGAGCGACTGTGCCGTCACCACGGCCTCCCCGCGGGTGCGAATGCCCACGGCTCGCAGGACGGTCTCCATCTCCTTCATGTAGTCCATGTGGCCGTTCACCTGTCACGGGCGTGGGTGAAAGCTCGTCCGTTACCGGTGAACACCCGACCGCGTGACGTGCGGCATTGCAGGATAACCGTGGACGAGTGACGTAGGCTTACCGCCCTACCCCCCCCCCCACGCGTCCCCCACGTACCACTGCGGAAAGATCCACGTTGTTGATCTGGCGGCTGTCCGTGCACACCGGCTGCAGGCCGGCGACGTTCAGCTGCACCGAGGAGCTTCGGTAGAGAAACTTGAGCAGCCAGTCGCCCCTGCGAGCCGCGGTCGGTGGGGGGGGGGGGGATGGGGAGGGAAGGGGGGTTAAGAGGGTCACACGCACGGGATTCCGAGACAGTCACGGCAAGGCCAACCACGCGCCGTCGCGTGACACGTGCACTCGCCGCACCGCCGCTACGAGGATGTCCCCCCTCTCCCCCTCCCCCCCTGCCCCCCTGCCCCCCCTCCCCCGGTGAAGCGGTGCCGACGCGGTGACCGTGCCTGCAGTATCCGTTGGTGATGCGGCCCGAGACGACGCGAGCGATGGGATCCCACCGCTTGGCCGAGCTCTGCACCGGCGCTCCCAGCAGCACCGCGTCCTCAACGATGCCCTCGCAGCCTGGCGACCGTCGCCACGGCAACGGGAGGACAGCGCGTGCGGACGAGCACACGCGCGTGCGCACACACACACACAAAGACACCCCTTCGTGTAGCCTTCATCGACTCTTGAGGCAAGAGCTGTTGGCGAGCAGCGCCTATGAAGGCTGGAAACGGCACACGAGGGGGGGGGGGTGGGTGGCCAGCACCCGGTCGCGCCTTTGTCTACCCAGTGAGCGACGTTTACACATCGCACCAGGGACTCGTTTCAAGCCGAGTCGACGTAGGGGAGGACCAGGATTGATTCGAATAATCGTCACCGGTGTTGGCCGTGCACGGGAATCGAACTTTGGTGGCCGAGTTTGTAGCGCGGCGCGCTAGCCGCTGCACTACCGCTCCCGACACACGCGCGGGATGATGCTTGCGCCCAAAAGCTCGTGCCAATTGAGTGAAGGTGACGGCCGTAATCTGAGCCGACAGCAGCCCTCCCCGCAGGAACGCAAATTGGCCCGGATATATGACTGCGGCTAGCGCCGTTGGCGACCCAGCGTCTAAACAAGGAGGATTGGTGTGGCTGCCGCCATTCGTACAGGACGGGTCGTCTCGGTCTCCCGCGTGCAGACTTTGACCTTGCAGCAACACCGGCAAGCGACCCGTTTTAGGTGGAGATGGTCGAGGGAGGCTCAAGCCTGGTTCAGCAAAATCCAAATTGTTACTGGGATCTTGCATTATGAGCCAGGAATTGAATCTGGGACTCCAGGATTTTAGTGAAGTGTGTGACTCGGAGATCCCCAACTCGCCTCATATCCAGTTGACTTATAGAGGCCCAGCTCAGCTACAGATGCCATTTGCCACAACCAAACATCTGCCTCTCCCCATACACAAACAGTACATAACAAGGTCGAACTAATATAACGTTATTCTCTCGAACAGCTAAATAATAACTCGACCTTGTTAGTAAAATGTAAACAAGCATGGTGATGGAAAAAGCTGCCTTAGACTGCCTCTCTGAGCCTTGGGCAATCACAACTATCCCTAAGAATCCACGAGGCACCTCATTCTGGCTCTCTGAGCCTCAGTAATAAGAATACAAATCTAATCTCCGAATAACACAATTGGCTACGCATGAAAGAAGTTCAACATACACACATTTATAAAGCGCCTTCACTCAAGGCTCTTGACGTAGCATACAAAACAACGACAGAATGGAATGATGTAGATGTTTAAGGACACGGTACAAGAATCGAGGAACGGGTGACGTCGATAGAGGGGTACTTAGAGATCACAAAAGGGCTATTAGGGGAGGGTTGGCAAGGAGTGGAGGAACAGGGGAAGAGGTAGAGAATGGGCAATAGAGAAGAGGTGAGCTTTGTGACGCAGAACCCACGAGAAGGGAGCCTTTGTCTGGCTCTGAGCCTCAGTAATAATAATCTAACCTTCAATTAGCACGGTTGGCTACGTACGGTGAGAGAGCAGTTCAACAACGGTTTGAGCGAGTACCTGCACTGAAGGCGCTGGACATACTGTAGCTGACAAAATGGTGACGCAGAATGGAATTATGTACAGGTAGTCCTCGACTTACGATGGAGATGCGTTCCGACGACCCCATCGTAAGTCGAAAATATCGTAAGTCGAAGATGGCCTAGCCTACCCAGGAGTCTTAAAGAATGGTGATAATTTAACAAAACAGAGCAATTTACAGTACCGTACTGTATAAACTATATACTCTATGTAGTTATTAATTACAATACTGTATTGCACAGTAAAATGTAAAGTAAAAAAACAAGGTAAATTCTTAGCCTACCTATATGGACTGCAATTTAATAGAAAGTTTTTTTCAGGAATCCATACTCTTTTTCAGGAAGCAATCCTATCTGCTATAAAAACTTTGAACATGCTTTGAAACACAAAAAAACACGGAAAAAAAATACGCGCGCTAACACCGAGGACAACTTCACTCCGTCGACCAGAGTGTTGAGAGTGAGGCATCACCACACAAGGCGGGAGACGCTTACATCCCAGCAGCGTCCCAACGTACAGTATCGTACCTCGTACGCTGCTGCGTTTGCCTGCCGGGCGAAATTTAAAATATTTTACAATTTTGTCGTATCGCTATCGCCATCGTAAGATCGAAATATCGTAAGTCGGGGACCATCGTAAGTCGGGGACTACCTGCAGTTGGCAGTGGCGTGCTACGGGGATCGAGGAACGAATGACAGCGAGAGAGGGGTACTCGGGGATCACGAAAGGGGTACGTGGGAGGTACGGTAAGGAACAGAGGGACGGCGAAGATGACGCAGACTCCGTACCCTTCTCCTTGGCCATCTCCTCGAGGCAGTAGAAGATGACGCGCGCCCCCAGGCTGAAGCCGATGAGAGTCACGGGCCGCTTGCCCTGTGGCGGCAACAAGCGGCCGGCACACGAGTGAGCCTCGGGCGCCCGTCGCACGCCGATCGTCGCGGCAGACGCAGCTGCGACAACCGACGACGCGCGCCCGCGTTGTGCCGCGTGCCTTTTGGTCCGACGTTTCGCCCACCCCGCCCGCCCGCCCCCCACCCCGCCCCCCCCCTCCTCTCCCCTGCTCACCTGCTGGCGCGAGAGCAGCACGCGCGCCAGCTGCTTGCCCGTCTCGGCGGCGCGATTCAGGCACACGTCCCACGGGTTGTCGATGATGTTGGCGGCGAGGAGGAGCGACGATGGCCACGCGAGTGCGGCCAGGATGCCTGGTCACGCGCGCACAGCCACGCAAAGACCCCCCCCCCCCCGGCGGTGTAGCCTCAACGGACAGTCGTGGTGCGAGCGCTGTTAGCGAGTAGCGCCTAGGAAGACCGGGTTGGGTGGCAGGTATTGTGCGTGCGTGCGTGTTTGAGTTGCATGGCCACAATCGCAAGGATATGGCTCGTGTCGTCAATCTTGGTGCAGCATCGGCCTGCTGCTAATGTTCTGACGCAGTTGATGGTGACACCAACGGTGTCTTCGACGAGGGGGGGGGAAATGTCAAAACGTCAGGGGGTGCGATGTTTGGGTCTCGTACTGGGTGGTTATTCTGGACTTCCAACCTCTTCCTCTCTGTTCCAAAAATGGACGTCAGTAATTTGAACGTGCGAGCGTTTGATTCGATTTGCCCGGCGGTGGATTGTCGGTAAGGGTCCGTCCAGGTCTACGCGTGTAAGAGAGTAAGAGCTGCCTGGGGAGCGTCGTGTTGTAGCAGTTAGCGCGCCGTGTTATGATCCCGGCGACCCCCAATTCGATTCCCGTTCACCGCCAACATCAGTGACGATGATCTAAACCGATCCTGGGCCTACCCCTAGGTCGACTCGGCCTCAAATGAGTACCCGGTGCCTTGTGTAAACATCGGCACTGGGGAGACAAAGACGGCCGGGCGTCGTGCTGCCCACTCACCCCGTCGCATGCTACGCCACGCCACTGCCGGCTTTCATAGGTGCCACTCGCTGCCAAGCGCTTGTCCCAAGGCTACCCCCCGCTGCGGTCAGAGTGGGTCTCACCGGACAACACGGTGAGCTTGAGGGCCTCCTGCGCCGCCATGCTGAGCAGCCCGTTGATGATGGAGTCGATGGCACGGCCCAGCCCTCGCAGGTACTGGGACTCCCACACGAGGCAGTACTGCTCACGGCTGTGGTGCAGGCACCGCCAGGGGGTCTCAAAGCTCCCTAGGAAAGAGGGGACAGGCGGGCAGAGGGAGACAGGGAGACACAGGGAGACACAGGGACACACAGGGAGACAGGGGCACACAGGGAGACACAGGGAGACACAGGGAGACACAGGGAGACAGGGGCACACAGGGAGACAGGGACACACAGGGAGACAGGGAGACAGGGACACACAGGGAGACAGGGACACACAGGGAGACAGGGACACAGGGAGACAGGGACACAAAGGAAGACAGGGACACACAGGAAGATAGGGACACACAGGAAGATAGGGACACACAGGAAGACAGGGACACACAGGAAGACACAGGGAGACAGGGAGACACAGGGAGACACAGGGAGACACAGGGAGACAGGGACACACAGGGAGACACAGGGAGACAGGGACACACAGGGTGACAGGGACACACAGGGAGACAGGGACACACAGGGAGACAGGGACACACAGGGAGACAGGGACACACAGGGAGACAGGGGGAGACAGGGAGACAGGGACACACAGGGAGACAGGGACACACAGGGAGACAGGGACACACAGGGAGACAGGGACACACAGGGAGACAGGGACACACAGGGAGACACAGGGAGACAGGGACACACAGGGAGACACAGGGAGACAGGGGGAGACAGGGAGACAGGGACACACAGGGTGACAGGGACACACAGGGAGACAGGGGGAGACAGGGAGACAGGGACACACAGTGAGACAGGGACACACACGGTGACAGGGGCACACAGGGAGACAGGGACACACAGGGAGACAGAGACACACAGGGAGACAGGGAGACACAGGGAGACAGGGACACACAGGGAGACACAGGGAGACAGGGAGACACAGGGAGACAGGGGCACACAGGGAGACAGGGACACACAGGGAGACAGGGACACACAGGGAGACAGGGAGATTTGGGTTTGAATTCACATTCAACGCGCGCTCCGACGCCCCCTGCAGTTTCGTATATTCACAGGGCACTTGACGCAGTCACGCGGTGGTGAGGAGAGAAAACACCAGCAGAGGCGCTCACTCACTGCACTTGCCCTAATAGTCTGTTAATTCTGTACGGGGGATCTTTGTCTTTGTATGTATATCTGTTTGTGAAGCGGTGGTGTGGCGGTTAGCGTGCTGCGCTCTGACATCGGTGACGAATATCTGAACCAATCATGGGCCTCCCGAGGTCGACTTAGCCTCAAATGAGTACCTGGTGCCTTATGTAAGCATCAGCACTGGGGAGACAAAGGCGGCCGGGCGCGGTGCTGGCCACTCACGCCCCTCGTGTGCGGTGCCGGACTTCATAGGTGCAGCATTTGCACCAACATTCTGTATGTGTGTGTGTATATATACGTGTATGTAAGTTCACGTGTACATTCATCATGAATTCCATGCAGGAGTATTTGGCTTCATGTGGGAGGAACTCGAGAACCCACAATGCCCGAGCACTACTGCCTTATCAGTACTGATCGGGAAAATGTACAGTTTCGCCATTATTACGAATCATCATCAAAAAATGTACCTTCTACACTGCAAGTTGGCTGTACACCAGTCCCACTCTCCATGTGTAATGCTTTGCATCAAATCAACAAAGGTGCAGCCCTGCAATTGCTTGCTCATGCAGGGCTGCACCTTTGTTGGCAGAAGAGCCTCCAATAGAGAGACCCCTTTAGAGGGCGATTGTGTCTCCTCTTCAAATGCTGGCCAGACATCTTAAGAGGATGTGAGAGCCCCCACACACTTTACCACACCACGTGCAAATTGCCAATCAGCCAAATTTTGTTGAACCTGTTCATACTGCAGAGGGAGCACTCTACAGCCTCTGGGGGGGGGGGGGGGGGAGGAGTTTTACGGAGCCCCTCCAGAGAATATTTTTGGCCTACGCTTCCACGACGCATAACGCCACGTGCCTTACATAACGCCACGTGCCTTACATAACGCCACGTGACTTACATAACGCTAGCCCTTGCCGCACATGACAGTAGACATACACGCCTCGGTTACATAACGACAATGCAGACAGGTGCGTGCCAATTTTGTATAGGGGACACACGCACACACACACACAAACACACAAACACACACCTGGTGTGCCCGAGTTGTTGTTCGTAAGAGAAGCCGCTTACACGACACTGCCCGCCAGGTGTCTTGCAATAAAGGAGAGACCCTCTGAGGGGGGAGGGTGCAAACGCTGCTGGCAAGCATCGCAGCGTTACCACCTTTCCGGTGGCAGAGGGGCACGCTTCCCCGCGCCACCGTGCGCGCGTGAGTGCGCGTTACCGTATTTGCCGGAGGAGAGCCAGCCCGTGATGGCGATGGTGACGTCCAACTTGCGCCCCTCGGTCAGGGTCACGAACTCAAACTCCTCCACCTGCCCCACGCGCTTCTTCATCTTGTACCCTTGAGCAACACCGGGAAAAAAAGAGTCGTCTCTCGGTTTCTCCTGCCGCAGCCACGCGCACTTGTATATAATTATAATAATAATTTACACTTCTATGCACGTGTGCGTGTTGAAAGTATTTCGCGCCGTACGTAGCCGACCGTGCAAATGGGAGGTGCGGGGTGGGGGGGGGGACAATAGACTAAATGCAAAAAGCAGTTCGAAGGGAACGAGCTTTCAATCTAGATTAATTAAAAGTGATTGATCACTCAAAGCCATAGCAGGACTAATGCTGCCTCCTTTCAAAGGGAGATCACAAGGCGCTACACAAACATAACAAAGACAAAGACCCCCCCCCCCCCCCCATATAGCCTGAACAGACTGTTTGGGCAAGTGCTGTTAGCGAGGACCTATGAAGGCCGGCACGGCACAAGAGGCGGTGGGTACCAGGACCACGCTGGGCCGCCTTTGTCTCCACAGTGGCGATGTTTATACACCAGGTACTCATTTGAGGCCGAGTCGACCTAGGGGAGGCCCATGACCGGTTCAAATAATCGTCGCTGATGTTGGCCGTGAGCAGGAATCGAACTCCGGTGGCCAGGTTCGTAGTGCAGCGCTAACCGCAGTCCAAGCGAGCAAGCCAGTGAGCGCGTGAGTGAGCGCGTCAGTGAGTCAGTCAAGCGAGCGCGCGAGTCACCGGTCAGGCCAGCGCCGGCCGCGCCGAACAGCGAGGTCATGACGGCGATGCCGGCGGTGGAGCCGAGAACAGCAGCGCCGGCGCCGCCGATGACCGCGCCGGCACCTGCGGCCACGAGCGGGGCCGCCAGTCCCCCCGTCACTCCTGTGGGAGCGCGTACACACACACGCGTACACACACGCGCGTACACACACGCGCGTACACACACACGCGTACACACACGCGCGTACACACACATACACACACACATACACACACGCGTACACACACACACGCGTACACACACACACGCGTACACACACACACGCGTACACACACACACACGCGTACACACACACACGCGCGCACACACACGCGCGCACACACACGCGCGCGCGCACACACACGCACACACACACGCGGGCACACACACGCGTACACACACACGCGTACACACACACACGCACACACACACACGCGCACTCAAGACAAATATCTCCGTATAGCCTCAACAGACTTGCTGGGGAAAGTGCTGTGAGTGGGCACCTATGAAGGCCGCCACGAGGGGATGGTGTGGCCAGGACCATGCCCCGCCGCCTTTGTTTCTCCCAGTGCTAATGTTTTCAAATCGTAGCACCAGGTACCCATTTAAGGCTGAGTCGACGTAGAAGATAACTGTCACGGTTTTTGACCGTGTGTGGGAATCAAACACGGGCAGCCGGGTTTGTAGCATAGGGCGCCAACTACTGTACTATAGAAGATGCACAAAGACAAAGATCCCCCATATAACCTTTAGCAAACTGTTGGGGCAAAGTGTTGTTGGCGAGACCCAATGATCGACACTAGTAGCGAGATGCAACGTGGCATGCAAGGCATGATGGGATGACCGATCGTGTGGTCACAATCGTGCGTTTAACTGGCAAAAAAATCAAAATCACATTTCGCGTGATTATTATAATAATTATTATTACTCTGTGTGGGGGCAACTGGACGGCTGAAACACAGCGACTTGGTTAGTGGGGTTGATGAAATCTGGCTGTCCGCCTCATGGTTCCAGTTGTAATTACTGGCAAAACGTCGTACTCGCATTGTAAATGTTGTGGCTTTGCTCTCCAACACACCGGTGTGCTGTACTGGTGACGAATTGGCCACGTTCTGTTTACGTGACAACCCTTACTAGTTGGCTGTGTCGGGTGGTGGCGGCTTTAACGACACAACATTTATATATTTACGCGATCTAACCCAAAAAAACCCCCTCTATTGTGGGTTATTGAGTTATGAAAGCAGAGAGGGGATGCGTGCATCACCTGTTCTAGCAAGAGCGACGATAGCGGTGGTTGTGACGACGACGGCGGTGGCGTGACTTTATCGAGATCTGGAAGCCACTCTGCGGAAAGTTTTCATCGGCGAGGCTATCCACCAAGGGAAGCAGCCGCGGTGTGAACGGTGGTCGAAACGGCGAGGGCAATTTTTTTTTTAAATCACCACCACCACCTCTGTCCACCCAGCAACATAAATGGAAAACTCCACGGTCAGCTGATCAGCAATTCGCGTGAGGTGGGGTAAAGTGTGGGCATGCTCCCATCTTTATCAAGACGCCTGGCCAATGTGGAGAGAGGGGCTCTCTATAGCTCCCTCTAGTGGAGGTCCCTTTCCGCCAGCTGTGGGGTGATACAGCGATTGCAGGTGCTGCGCCTTTACCTACTTTCCACCACAGAAATGGCTGACCAACGGAGGAAGTGGCAGGCACGCGCGGCGACGGCGATGATGAAAATGTACTGCGGCGCGTGCAATACACGCGTTCGAATCGTGCGCGCGACAACAAATGATCAGCGATAGAATTTCAATGCAACTCGACGTGCTCATGCGTGTAACACGGCAGGGATGGCATTGTCGACGCATTAAAATAGAATCTTACACTCACGATTCGTGCATTGCATGGTCCGTCTAAGTATAGGTTGCGTAATGGAGGCAAACTATGTGCTCATATTCCTGCGGTGGGCGATACGCACGAGGCATGGCACAACTAACGAGCGAAAATTTGCAAAAACCCGGACAAACAAGACTCGCAACACATACGGGACGGCAAACACCAGGCAAGAAAGGTAGTTCCACTCTGCAACAGAATCGTGACGATGCATTGAATCGGCCGATTCGCATGATTTTATTTTATCCCCGAAAGGGCGATATTTAATGAATCTGCGTGAGCCTACGAACTGCTTTTTGTATTCAGTTTGCTGTCCTTTCCCCCGCACCTCCCATTAGCACGGTTGGCTACGCGAGGCCCGAAACAAGTTCAACATACGTACGTATACATACACGTACATACGAGACCTCGCCATTGATTTTATACGAGATTCAATCCTCGCCCTCTCTCTCCAGCCTGCAGAACAGGCGTCAGTATTACTTGAACCTCCACGGACGCTCGATGCACACCGGGACAACACGAATCTGTTAGGTTCCCCCTTCCCGAGCCCTACCTGGAAGGGAAGGCCAAGTCATGATCGAGCGTTTCGCTTTGCATGGGGCAGCAAACCGGAGGGTCTGAAGAACGCACCGCACCAACTTCGGGAGGAACCTTTCAACAACAATACCTGCGCGTGGTTCATCACTGGTGGCACATTTCCTGGGAGCGGCTCCTTCGCCGCTCGTCGCAGAGGTCCGCGGCTCGAATCCATCGGGCCACCCTGGTTAATACTGTGGCGTGTGCATTACCCCTAAAATATGGGCGCCCGTCTACTTGACAATGACTGAGAACGATGCCGGGATGTGCAGGAACTGGTCGATGTTTATTCTCCAACGAGGTCTCTGAGATCGCCTTTGGATCACCTTCACTTGTAAATGCGGTGATTGGGATTTTACCACTGTGCATCTCCCAGGCTTTGTAACAACGCTTTGCCTTTGCTAAGAAGACAATCAGAGTCGTTAGCTGTATTTAAAACTAAACTATTTTTATTTTATTTTACCAGGTAAGGACAAATAAGCTATGTAGCTCATTTTCAGAAGCCACCTGGCCACAAATGATAGCTCAACGAAGTGTCTTATCATGTGGAAATGTATAGCAGCCAAATACTCATGTTGTTGATTCTAATGTGAAGGGTAAAACCGGATGACCCGGAGAAAAATACATGCGACTACAGGTGAGAACATGCAAGCTCCAAATATACAGCAGCAGGCGTCAGGGTCGGCATCAAATCCACGACCTCCTGCATACCAGGCGAGATAGTTAACATCTCGCCACCCCGGCGAGATGTCTTGAAAGGTCACCTCTCTAAACTGGCCTGTTTACCCCCCCGCCCGCCCGCCTAGTTCTAGCCGTTTACCCAGCAGGTTCTGGTCATTTCCTGGTCTTCCACGCACGGCACACATTGAGATCTCCGGATGAAATGGGCCACTTTACAAATGTAAATCATCATTATCATCATTATTATTATAGACGAGCAGACAATTGTGCACCAGCGCCACGGCTCAAAATCACCCACGCAGCAGCAGAGCGATTCCCGACTGCAGGCCGGGTGCCGAGTCTCCTTGTGCCGCACGGGGACAGCTGCCATTGTTAGACGAGGTGCGAGTCGCTTGCCGCGTGTGAACGATTCCTGCGTAAGGGAGGGAGGCTCGACCGAAACAACCGAATCGCCGTCATCGTCGTTAGCGAGCGAGGCGACGGCGAACGATCGGCGCGTCGATCGTTCGCGCGGCGGTCGGTGGAGCTCGCGCAGAGGTCGCGGAGAGGTCGCGCGGAGGTCGCGCGGCATGCGTACCCAGCAGGGTCCCTCCCACTGTGGTGGCGAGCCCGATGAGGAGGTACCTCTTGATCTTCCTCTTCCTCTCGGCTTTCTTCCGAGCCTCCAGCTCTGCCCTGCACAGGTCGCACGTCGCCCATTGTCAATTTCAAAAGTGCACCCACAAAAAAGTATATATACGTACCCGTTTCATATTTACAAAATAATAAAATTTTTACCAGGTAAGGCCCACTGAGATGTACAGATAGTCCCCGACTTACGATGGTCCGACTTACGATATTTCGATCTTACGATGGCGATAGCGATACGACACAATTGTAAAATATTTTAAATTTCGCCCGGCAGGCAAACGCAGCAGCGTACGAGGTACGATACTGTACGTTGGGACGCTGCTGGGATGTAAGCGTCTCCCGCCTTGTGTGGTGATGCCTCACTCTCAACACTCTGGTCGACGGAGTGAAGTTGTTCTCGGTGTTAGCGCGTGTATTTTTTTCCGTGTTTTTTGTGTTTCAAAGCATGTTGAATTTTTTTTATAGCAGATAGGATTTCTTCCTGAAAAAACTTTCTATTAAATTGCAGTTCATATAGGTAGGCTAAGAATTTACCTTGTTTTTTTACTTTACATTTTACTGTGCAATACAGTATTGTAATTAATAACTACATACAGTATATAGTTTATACAGTACAGTACTGTAAATTGCTCTGTTTTGCTAAATTATCACCATTCTTTAAGACTCCTGGGTAGGCTAGGCCATCTTCGATTTACGATATTTTTGACTTACGATGGGGTCGTTGTAACGCATCTCCATTGTAAGTCGAGGACTACCTGTATAGCTCTTTATCAGGAGTGACGTGGCCGCTAATGAAAGCTCAACGAAGTGGCTTATCACGTGAACATTTAAAGCACTCAAATACTTCGAATGCACGTTTCTAAATGCGGAGGGTAAAACCGAAGGACTCGGAGAAAATTCCACGCGGTCACGGGGGAGAAAATGCAAACTCCAAATATACAGCAGGGCATCAGGTTCGGGATCGAACCCACAATATTCTATATGCCAGGCGAGGTAGTAGTCCAGATTTTCTGCGCATTCCCGAAAGCCACACACTCCGGAGGCAGCCGAGACAAGCCGGGGCCTCGTGAACTGGAGTGCGATGCCCTGAACGAGCTACGCCGCCCGCTTCTCCTTGACACGGCATTTCTAGCAACTGCTCACGTCTGGCACTATGACCAGAACAACGACGGAGGCTTCGGTTCAGCCAGCGCTCCTTAGGACCCACCCCTTCCCTCCCTTTGCTGTTAGTGGGGGTAGAGTTGGGCGGGGGGGGGGGGGGGTTCTTGGGGGGGAGGAGGTGAGGAGCCCTACCCAGAAAATATTACGTGAGAAATCAAGCCCTGAGAAAAATCGTTATCCTTTGCAGGACTTGATAACAGACATTTGCCATGACTTGCCACAGCCTGTGCACATGCCTAGCTCTGTCGTTCCTTCCCGCTTGTGCGGATGACTTGTCCGAAGTGTCCCTCGTATTAAACAATCGGATGCACTGCAAGCGAATACACTGCAAACGGACCGCGCGTGCTATGGATGATGTGGCGTTCGATTGGCCAGCCGCAGCCCCTGTGATCTGCCGCAGCTGTGCGGAGGTGGCTGCAGAGGTGTTTATCGAACGGAATTTCTGCTTCTTTATTTTTATTGCCCAAATTCAAAACCTCAATTTTATCCAGGCTGAGCTCTCGGCGTCATAGCGTCAAGAGATGAAGAATCCATTCGGATCTCTCGCGCAGGAGCCTGACCCTTCATATTGGAGAACGGCCCACGAAAGCGGATATCACAGAGCTACATCTGGGATCCTGTTCGAGTGACTTCTGTTTCAGACAGCAGGGGGTAACGCTTTCCCACCTGCTCTGCATATCGGAGACAATCTTCGTCACGTGACATGTCGATCCGATAGTTAATTCACAGACCTGAAATTTAGCCAAATGAAGTCCAGAACCAAATGTGTTTTATGCGAGACCATCAGTGCAATACGCTCGAGAACCACGAGCAGCTGCCAGGATTCTAACCCAGGGTCTCAGCGGTGCCGGCTCAGCGCTCCGACCTCCAAGCAACCTGGCCACCTCCGCAATTTACCCCTAAACAATACGTTCCAATTGCTTAGGAAATGTCATAAGCCAACCCGTGGCAAAACATTCGATTGGCGCCAGTTGGCTACGTATGACGCGAAAGAAGTTCAACGTACGTACGTCCAAGTAAGCCCCGGGGACATGGATTAACGGCGAAGCGTCCAAAGCGTTCAGGAGCAAGGGGGCAGTGTACTTACGTTGTGGGAACTCCAGCGCAAGGTCCGTGCGGCACGACAGAGGAGAGAAACAACATTCTCAACGAAGAAGCCTTATCGCGCGCAGGGAGAGGTACGGGCCTCTCGGTGGCCCTCCCAGAACCACGTGCGAGGAACGTGACGGTGCAAGCCAAATCGAGAAAGGCAAAGCGTGGAATGACGACAGGGATGGATGATACAATGCAGTGGGTGTGGCGGTTGCGCCGGTATCATCGATTGGTAAGTGTTATGCTAAGCTCAAGAGCCACGTCGTGTCGAAACGCTCGTCTTAGCAATCGATGTTGCCGGATTCGTGTGTGTGTGTGTGTATATATAGTGCGACGTCCACCGCGGAGATTGAGCAATCAAGTCAGCCGGTGGGCAGGTGCCGGATGGATTGTTGCATCGCTCGCACGTCACATGGAGGGACAATGGACGGTGGCCACAGCGATGGGAGTGGCAGCCAAAAAATGGAACGCACCCAAGATGACGTTCGCTGCAGAGATGAGAGCTATGAAACGTGCCCATGTGCGGACGCCGGACAGATTGTTGCATCGCGGGACCGTGAGAGATGGCGATGGCTTAGGGAGGCCTTCATCCAGCAGTGGCTAGACCCCCGATGATGGTGTCGACGATACACTGCATGTAATGAGTTGTCGTGACCCCCTCCCCACCACCGGCAGCCATGAGTGGCCATTACGTTAACCACGAGGTTAACAAAAATGAATCGATCCTCGGACCGAATCGATATCGCCTACGGGTGAATGGCTACTTACACCTCGAATTAAACGATTGGACAGAAAAAAATTATTTGATAGTTGACTTGTGAGCTGTTTGCACCAATTACAAACTGTCAGGATGGCAAGCAGCTGTCTTTGCGGCTGGACGATATCGTGGGCTGGGCAGAGGAAGGGCTGGGAATTTTTTTTCCCTTCATGCGGGCCTAATAGAGCTCTCACTTCCCCCTGGCAGAGCCACGCATTACCACAGACAAAAGTGAGTGCGGCTAATTTCCCTCCCAATATCCGATCGGTGCGGCTAAAGATGCTTGTGGCGACAGATAGAATATCGTTTGCGGGAAGTTTTGGAGTGGTGGCTGGACCCACGTGGCTGCCCGTGAGTCGTGTGAAGTAAAAGTCTCAGGCTGTGTCCGGCCCGTGGGCCGTAGGGTAGGTTCCCCACTCCTGCCGCTAAGAGACGAGGGGGTGGAGGAGCTGGCGGGCGCACGGGCGGTCACTCACGGCGTCTCCTCGTTTGGCGTGGAGTTGAGGCTTGAGACGACAGTGTCCTCAAAGTCCTCCAGATCCTCGGGCTGGACATGGAGTAGCCAGGCGATGTGACGCACCAAGACGTGCGCCCGGGCGTCATAACAGCCTGCGCACAAATATCCTCCGTATAACCTTACCAGACTGTTGGGGCAAGTGCTGTTAGGGAGCAGCTATGAAGCCCGGCAAGGCACACGAGAAGGATGGGTGGGCAGCACCACGCCCGGCTGCCTTTGTCTTCCCAATGGCAATGTTTTTACACACCGCACCAGGTACTCACTTGAGGCTGAGTCGAGCTAGGGGAGGCCCAGGACTGGTCACGACTGATGTGAGCCAACTGTCTGGGAATCGCACTCAGGCTCGCGAGGTTTATAGTGCAGCGTGCAAAATATTTCCCTGCCACTCCCCCCCCCCAAAGTTTAACATTCGCCCAAAATATTTATTTTGCTTTAACATCTGAGCAAAGACGATGTGAGCGAGCGATAAGGTTGATGATGATGATGATCAAGGCCGATGACATCACGTTGCACTCACCGTCCTTCAGCGCAAACATGACAAGGTCCTGCAAGAGACGGACAGAGATAATCAATGGACGTTGTTAATCGCATTCGATTCTGATAAAAAAAAAATGTTTTATCCTGTATTGTGGTCGGTCAAAAAAAACATTCACACTCTTCAATTGATGTTCTTTAATTGTGCCCGGCAGAGCACAGGGGAAGCAAACGTGCGTCGCTGTCCGGCACAGCTCCGGTATCGGTTATTAGGGCTTGCTCGCAAAACGACACGACAAATCTCATTTGCTTATCGCCCGAAACGTACATAAGCAGGCAGAGTCCGTTGTAAAACGCACTGCCAGATGAAGGCATCCCGAGTCCGTGCGAGTCATGGAGCTTGCTTCACTGTATCTCACCAGGCCGGTCAGTGCTTTGGTTGGTAAACAGGTTGGAGCATAGGCACAGGAGCAACTCAGTACTGTTACAGCAATAAATTCCCTTGCACTTTCCTCTATTGCCAACAACGTATCTCGAGAGCCTATAACACCTGTTTATCCATGGTGGTTACCCATCTAATTACTCGGAAGGCTCAAACAGTTTGTTGTCCTCCCGATTAGCACGGTCGGCTAGCCACGTACGGTGCGCGAAAGAAGTTCAACGGACATCCATGCAAACATGATCTGTCGCGATCAGGTGCACCACAAGCGATGTACACACAGAGGCACGCTTACGACGACGGTAATGCAGAGCCCGGTTTGTCCGTCCCCTGCTGGAGGATGAGGGCTGCCCCGTGCCCCTGTGGGTCGTGGCAACGTCCGAGCAAACCAAAAAAGAGCCACGTCACGAGTTCACTCGCGATCGTCCGCATCTCTTTAGAGTGTCCCCGAACGCGCGTCCGCCCTCGTAACAACGTTCCCACGGCGCGAGAGAGACGGCTCGGCACACGTGCGAGGCGCGCACCTGAATGAGCGGCATGAACCCGTCGCTCTTCTCCGACCGTGGTCCCAGCTCCCGAGCGATCAGATCGACGAACGAGTCGGAGCCCTCGCCGCCCGTGCCCTCGGCGAACGCCTCCATGATGGGCAGCACCGTCGCGGGCAGGCCCAGCCACTCGGTGAGCGAGGTCGTGAACCGCTGACGGAACTCGCTGCAGCAGGACGACACGTTCCGTTGACAAGTGTGCTTAACCGGAAGGTGTTGGAGAGAACTCTTAAGAGACCAGTATTAATGGGCGCCACGGTGGCGAGGATGTTAATTTCCTCGCCTGGTATACAGAAGGTCGCGGTTTCGATCCTGACCCTGATGCCTGCTGTATATTTGGAGTTTGCGTCTCTCCCCGTGGTCGCGTGGATTTTTCTCTGGGTCCTCCGGTCTTTTCCTCCGCATTTAGAATCATGCGCGGAGAGTATTTGGCTGCTATAAATTTTCACGCGATTCAACCACTTCACTAGGCTATATATATATATCTCAGTGGGCAATGGCGGAGCCAGGATTTTCAGGTAGGGGGGCAACCCCTCCAGCAATAAAAAATTATAGGAGTTGTTAGTAAGTAAGGACTTGTCCCTTGCTTTTTATTCGACGCGTGTGCGGCGATGGCGCAGCCATCGATCGAGGGTCAAATTCGAACTGCGTTGTGTGATCGGCATCGCGCTCGCTGAAGGTGAATGCCATCAGGGAAGTCGTGTACTGTATACGCAACTGCGCGCAATTCTGAGTCACTTATAACTGCTTTGCCGTTACTTATTGCCAATTATGGACTCAGACTATTATCCTATCATCTCAGAGTCCCTGGCACGTAACAATATGCTACACAGTGGCAGTGGGGGTCGCAAAATGCCGATATATTACTAATAAACCCCAATGATCTGATCGAAAGTATGAATTTCGATCGGCTCATTGGGGGGGCACGTGCTACCCCACCCCCTCCACTGGCTCCGTCAGTGGGCCTTAGCTGGTATAATAAAAATAGTTTACTTTTAGTTTAGCTACTGTTGCCAAGTGATGGAAATCCAACATTTCTACATCGGGGTGAGTCTATCCATAGCATCACCACTATTGACTTTCTCACAAAGTGGCCTGTATTTTATCAACCCTTCTGCGTTGATGGGCTGAGTCAACCACCAAGCAAGATGTGAACTTGCAACTGTCCGATTGTGTGCCGCTCACTCCAAAGCTGAGCCACCCGGCAGGTTTACACTTAAAACGCTTCCAGTAGTGACAGCGACATCACAACAGTGATGTGAGACACTGGATAATCGTGGCATTCACGTAGGGGTCCAGAAGAGGCACAGCTGCTTTATATTCCATCCGCAGGCAACCACCATGCCAATAATTGCGCCCGATAATCTATCTGCATTAGGTTTCCGTGGATAGAGTTGCCGACGAGCTTGAGCAAACATTGGCACGGAGGGACTCAACAAACCGGATCTCAGTGGAATAATTCCACCTTGGCGGTGACACTTGATAACCTACGCGATTCCTCGCAGTGACCGAGTTCATAAAAGTTTAATATTTAAACCCGTGTGCATGTTAACTTCTCCCAAAGTGAAAGCGATGGCAAACAACAAAAACTGAATGACAAAGCACTTCCCACTGCCTTATTTTCATGTTTCAGTCATGCCCACTCTGTCAGCATCATCTTCAGTATACTCCTCCTCGTCGTCATCATCATCATCAGCAGCAGCCACGATCAATTAATCCACTGCTGAATGAAGGCCTTCCCCATACCGTGGGCATGCAACGTAAAGATACACCTAGCTCCTGCGCACGAGCCGATATCATCGCGCTGGATAGGACGTGTGTGCAGGGTATGTGCGTATGTATATGCTGAACTTCTTTCACACCGTACGCAGCCAACCGTGCAAGTCGGAGGTGCGGGGGAAGGACAATAAACTAAACACAGATCTAAAGAAATTAGTTTTTAATTTTGGGTGGTGGAGGGGCCGGCTACCGTGACAGGCATTGCAGCGGTTTACGTAAGTTCAGTGACCTAAGAGCAGATGGCGGGATACCCTTGAGGCAGATCGTGGAGGCCGCTGCTTGCCTACTGTGCAACAGCTGTGCAACATTTGTGGAACCTGGTGGAGGGTAGGAAGTGTTGGTAGCGAGGTGGTGGTAGTGGTCGTAGTGGTGGTGGAGGTAGTTGGCACAGCTGATGCATCCGCCAGTTATATCAGGCAGTCAACCTATGGCACCCGAGTCTGTCCCGTGACCTCCTGTCAGCGAGCCTTCGACACTCCACGTGGCCTCAAAGTGCACCTGGCCTGGCACAGGTGCTGTGGTGACGTCACCGTCACTTCGTGGCGAATGGCGGCTATTGGTACTGTATTGGTAGTGGTGGAAGTGGTGGTGGTGGAAGTTGTGGCGGAAGTGTTGGAAGTTGTGGTGGCGCTGGTAGTAGTGGCAGCGGTGGTAGTAGTGGCGGTGGTGGTAGTAGTGGCGGTGGCAGTGGTAGTGGCAGCGCCAATGGGTTTGAGCCACGATGCCATCGTCGTCTCACCACGCACCAATTATCATATTTTGTTACTGGCAAATGAGGTTTCCAATGGTCTAAATGCTTACCCCGAGCTCTCATACTCTGATGGTGCATTGTCTTTGAGTTGTGCGCCTTTTGGCGTCTTCTGGTCCAACACCATGTGAGACGAGGCTCTAAAGAAAGCTGTCTCGGGTGCGGACCAATCAATTTCAAGGACAGTGCCACATACATTATCAGAGTTGTTGTTTGTTGTTTGCGTTCCGACCGCAGGTATTGTGGTCAATGTAAACATGACTCCTTGTAAAAAAAAAGGTGTCAGTTTTGTTGCCAGCTAAAAGGGTAAAAAAACCAATGATCATATCGCACCTGTGGTTGTCGGTGGGCAAGAGCGACGCGAGGGAGATGGCGCAGAGCGCTGCGTAAGAGAAGCGTCCCGTGTCCGACAGCGTCTTCCCCACCGTCTCCGCAGGCTCTGCGAGCTCCGCTGGCACCCACGCCGCCGCGACCGTCCCGCCCGGGACCCCGGCCGCCCGGCCTGCGACGCACGCGGCGAGGGGACGAGGCAAAGGCAAAGTTGGGGGGGGGCGAGCAAAACGAGTTGGGAAGCACCGCCAACGTTACCGTCAACAATCATCAACCTGTATAGAAAAAGGTAAAGGTGTGGCCCGGCAATTGATTTCTCACGGCACTGCTGGCAACGGGCTTCTACCAGAGCAGTTGTTTTTCACTAATTTCCAGAGGAGGGGGGGGAGGGCACTTTCGCCGATAAGACATCATCAGTGGATGAGGGCCGCCACACATTTGACATCATTGGGGGTTTGACAGAAGCACGATGATGATGGGGGGTGTTTTCACAATTGTGGATTGTCGGGGGGTGGGGGGGGGGGCGCGTGTCAGGGGCCGCACTAAAGGCCACCAGGGGTCGCCAGCGGCCGACGGGCCTTTCAATGAAGAACACTGCACTAGAGGCAGCTAGGGGCACCCCATGCAGAGAGTATTTGGCCTACTCTTCCACACTGGCGAGACGACTGGGTAGGGCGTGGGAGTACACACACTTCACCACACCACGTGCGGCCTGCCAATCATCCACTGCGGTGTTCCCGTTACTACTGCTGGGAAGAGGCGTTGGGATCTACCAATCATCCACGGCGGTGTTCCCGTTACTACTGCTGGGAAGAGGCGTTGGGATCTACCAATCATCCACGGCGGTGTTCCCGTTACTACCGCTGGGAAGAGGCGTTGGGATCTACCAATCATCCACTGCGGTGTTCCCGTTACTACTGCTGGGAAGAGGCGTTGGGATCCACCAATCATCCACGGCGGTGTTCCCGTTACTACTGCTGGGAAGAGGCGTTGGGATCCACCAATCATCCACGGCGGTGTTCCCGTTACTACCGCTGGGAGGAGGCGTTGGGATCCACCAATCATCCACGGCGGTGTTCCCGTTACTACCGCTGGGAGGAGGCGTTGGGATCCACCAATCATCCACGGCGGTGTTCCCGTTACTACTGCTGGGAAGAGGCGTTGGGATCCACCAATCATCCACGGCGGTGTTCCCGTTACTACTGCTGGGAAGAGGCGTTGGGATCCACCAATCATCCACGGCGGTGTTCCCGTTACTACTGTTGGGAAGAGGCGTTGGGATCTACCAATCATCCACGGCGGTGTTCCCGTTACTACTGCTGGGAAGAGGCGTTGGGATCCACCAATCATCCACTGCGGTGTTCCCGTTACTACTGTTGGGAAGAGGCGTTGGGATCTACCAATCATCCACGGCGGTGTTCCCGTTACTACTGCTGGGAAGAGGCGTTGGGATCTACCAATCATCCACTGCGGTGTTCCCGTTACTACTGCTGGGAAGAGGCGTTGGGATCTGAGAAAACTGGTGGTTGCTTTACCGGCAGTCCCGGGAGAATGATTGACGACCTCTGGATTACAAGTCCAATGTGGTAATCACTAAACTATCAACCAATATATTGTAACACACATACAAATCACCCGGTCGACCTACGCCTGAATCAGGGCCATGGTGAGTGATATCTGAACCATTCCTGAGCTGCCCCTGTCCCGTGACCGACAAGGCGTGGGAGGGGGGGGGGGGGCTTCATCCAGCAGTGGATTGATAAATGGGAGCTAAACATGTATTTAAAATGATAAAAACAGGCAAGGGGGCAGGGCAAGGAGGACATTCCACGTTCCATAGACATGAGGCCAGACCATCCATCGGAGGTCTTTTCATACAAGGGGTGCAACATGGTCTATCCACTGCCGCAAGAAGCCGGATAGCCTGGTGGTTCTGTCATGTTACCGTGGTCTAGGATTTGAACTCACTCGTTCCAACTGCGGGGCAAGTGTCTGTGACCCCAGCTACCCCGAGATAGCCACTCACATTGCGCTCATAATGAGACAATGGACAATGCAAAACCCATCTCAGAGGCTGTCTCAGAGGCTGTGTCACTGGCTGTCTCAGAAGCTGTCTCACTGGCTGTCTCAGAAGTTGTCTCACTGGCTGTTTCAGAAGTTGTCTCACTGGCTGTCTCAGAGGCTGTCTCAGAAGCTGTCTCACTGGCTGTCTCAGAAGTTGTCTCACTGGCTGTCTCAGAAGTTGTCTCACTGGCTGTGTCAGAAGCTGTCTCAATGTCTGTCTCAGAAGTTGTCTCACTGGCTGTCTCAATGGCTGTCTCAGAAGTTATCTCACTGGCTGTCTCAGAAGTTGTCTCACTGGCTGTCTCAGAAGTTGTCTCACTGGCTGTCTCAATGGCTGTCTCAGAAGTTGTCTCACTGGCTGTGTGACTGGCTATCTCAATGGCTGTCTCAGAAGTTGTCTCACTGGCTGTCTCAGAAGTTGTCTCACTGGCTGTCTCACTGGCTGTCTCAATGGCTGTCTCAATGGCTGTCTCAGAAGTTGTCTCACTGGCTGTCACTGGCTATCTCAATGGCTGTCTCAGAAGTTGTCTCAATGGCTGTCTCAATGGCTGTCTCAGAAGTTGTCTCACTGGCTGTGTCACTGGCTATCTCAATGGCTGTCTCAGAAGTTGTCTCACTGGCTGTCTCAGAAATTGTCTCAGATGATGTCTCAGAGGATGTCTCACTGGTTGTCTCAGAAGTTGTCTCAGATGATGTATCAGATGTTGTTTCAGAGGCTGTTCCACTGGCTGTCTCGCTGGCTGTCTCACTGGAACTCTCAGAAGCCAGACAATTGCAGGTTCACAGAGACAATTACAGCAGACACCACTGGTTCTCTACCGCGAATGCAAGAGTTTTATCACAACAAAAAACCTAACGGCTTACAAACGCCTTCATCCAGCAGTGGATATGACAAGTCTGGTGGTGTACCTTCGCAGTCACAGGGGTGAATGATACGTGCGTCACATGTGAGCTTCACACCCACTTTGTGGTAACGTGCAGAGGCAAGTATGTTGAACTCCTTTCGCAACCGTGCTAATCGGAGGTGCGGCATCGGGTAAGGGATAGGGTAAGGGTTCGAGATAGGATAAGGAATAGGGGTAGGGATAGGGTAGACTGAGTAAGGGTAGGGATAGGGCAATGGGTGGGGTAAGCGCGAGGGATAGGATAAGGAATAGGGATAGGGTAGGGATGGGGTAAAGATAGGGTAGGGATAGAGTAAGGGAAGGGGTAGGGTAAGAGTGAGGGGCATGATAGGGGATAGTCAGGGTAGGGTGAGGGTTTATAGTTCTCTCATAACTAATGGTCTAGAGGCCGGTAGACCAAAGCATGCAACCATGAGCCAATAAACCCGAGTGTGAATGTTTATAATACTCGATGTGGTGTGCCCGAGCGAGCCAATACTTTCCAGACAGACCCCTGCGGAACGCAAAAGGGTTTACTGCGCAAGGTGAGGGCAAAGGTCACCGTGAGTAGGGTTCAAGCTGGGGTCAGAGTCTAGGGCGCTGTGCGGATTCACGTCGGCGTAGGGGTCAGAGCGAAGTCGGTGTTTGAAAGTTAGCGGTAGAGGTTGGTGTAGGGGATGTGGGGGTTGAGGTGAGTGTTAGGGGTAGTGCAGGAATGGGGGTTGAGTGTTAGGGGTAGTGCAGGGATGGGTGTTGAGTGTTAGGGGTAGTGCAGGGATAGGTGTTGAGTGTTAGGGGTAGTGCAGGGATAGGTGTTGAGTGTTAGGGGTAGTGCAAGGATAGGTGTTGAGTGTTAGGGGTAGTGCAAGGATAGGTGTTGAGTGTTAGGGGTAGTGCAAGGATAGGTGTTGAGTGTTAGAGGTAGTGCAGGGATAGGTGTTGAGTGTTAGGGGTAGTGCAGGGATAGGTGTTGAGGTGTTAGGGGTAGTGCAGGGATAGGTGTTGAGTGTTAGGGGTAGTGCAAGGATAGGTGTTGAGTGTTAGGGGTAGTGCAGGGATAGGTGTTGAGGTGTTAGGGGTAGTGCAGGGATAGGTGTTGAGTGTTAGGGGTAGTGCAGGGATAGGTGTTGAGTGTTAGGGGTAGTGCAGGGATAGGGGTTGAAGTGGTAGGGGTAGTGCAGGGATAGGTGTTGAGTGTTAGGGGTAGTGCAGGGATAGGTGCTGAGTGTTAGGGGTAGTGCAGGGATAGGTGTTGAGTGTTAGGGGTAGTGCAGGGATAGGGGTTGAAGTGGTAGGGGTAGTGCAGGGATAGGTGTTGAGTGTTAGGGGTAGTGCAGGGATAGGTGTTGAGTGTTAGGGGTAGTGCAGGGATAGGTGTTGAGTGTTAGGGGTAGTGCAGGGATAGGGGTTGAAGTGGTAGGGGTAGTGCAGGGATAGGTGTTGAGTGTTAGGGGTAGTGCAGGGATAGGTGTTGAGTGTTAGGGGTAGTGCAGGGATAGGTGTTGAAGTGTTAGGGGTAGTGCAGGGATAGGTGTTGAGTGTTAGGGGTAGTGCAGGGATAGGTGTTGAGTGTTAGGGGCAGTGCAGGGATAGGTGTTGAGTGTTAGGGGTAGTGCAGGGATAGGTGTTGAGTGTTAGGGATAGTGTAGGGATAGGTGTTGAGTGTTAGGGGTAGTGCAGGGATAGGTGTTGAGTGTTAGGGGTAGTGCAGGGATAGGTGTTGAGTGTTAGGGGTAGTGCAGGGATAGGTGTTGAGTGTTAGGGGTAGTGCAGGGATAGGTGTTGAGTGTTAGGGGTAGTGCAGGGATAGGTGTTGAGTGTTAGGGGTAGTGCAGGGATAGGTGTTGAGTGTTAGGGGTAGTGCAGGAATAGGTGTTGAGTGTTAGGGGTAGTGCAGGGATAGGTGTTGAGTGTTAGGGGTAGTGCAGGGATAGGTGTTGAGTGGTAGGGGTAGTGCAGGGATAGGTGTTGAGTGTTAGGGGTAGTGCAGGGATAGGTGTTGAGTGTTAGGGGTAGTGCAGGGATAGGTGTTGAGGTGTTAGGGGTAGTGCAGGGATAGGTGTTGAGTGTTAGGGGTAGTGCAGGGATAGGTGTTGAGTGTTAGGGGTAGTGCAGGGATAGGTGTTGAGTGGTAGGGGTAGTGCAGGGATAGGTGTTGAGTGTTAGGGGTAGTGCAGGGATAGGTGTTGAGTGTTAGGGGTAGTGCAGGGATAGGTTTTGAGTGTTAGTAGTGCAGGGATAGGTGTTGAGTGTTAGGGGTAGTGTAGGGATAGGTGCTGAGTGTTAGGGGTAGTGCAGGGATAGGTGTTGAGGTGTTAGGGGTAGTGCAGGGATAGGTGTTGAGTGTTAGGGGTAGTGCAGGGATAGGTGTTGAGTGTTAGGGGTAGTGCAGGGATAGGTGTTGAGGTGTTAGGGGTAGTGCAGGGATAGGTGTTGAGTGTTAGGGGTAGTGGAGGGATAGGTGTTGAGTGTTAGGGGTAGTGCAGGGATAGGTGTTGAGTGTAAGGGGTAGTGCAGGGATAGGTGTTGAGTGTTAGGGGTAGTGCAGAGATAGGGGTTGAAGTGGTAGGGGTAGTGCAGGGATAGGTGTTGAGTGTTAGGGGTAGTGCAGGGATAGGTGTTGAGTGTTAGGGGTAGTGCAAGGATAGGTGTTGAGTGTTAGGGGTAGTGCAGGGATAGGTGTTGAGGTGTTAGGGGTAGTGCAGGGATAGGTGTTGAGTGTTAGGGGTAGTGCAGGGATAAGGGTTGAGGTGTTAGGGGTAGTGCAGGGATAGGTGTTGAGTGTTAGGGGTAGTGCAGGGATAGGTGTTGAGTGTTAGGGGTAGTGTAGGGATAGGTGTTGAGTGTTAGGGGTAGTGCAGGGATAGGTGTTGAGTGTTAGGGGTAGTGCAGGGATAGGTGTTGAGTGTTAGGGGTAGTGCAGGGATAGGTGTTGAGTGTTAGGGGTAGTGCAGGGATAGGTGTTGAGTGGTAGGGGTAGTGCAGGGATAGGTGTTGAGTGTTAGGGGTAGTGCAGAGATAGGGGTTGAAGTGGTAGGGGTAGTGCAGGGATAGGTGTTGAGTGTTAGGGGTAGTGCAGGGATAGGTGTTGAGTGTTAGGGGTAGTGCAAGGATAGGTGTTGAGTGTTAGGGGTAGTGCAGGGATAGGTGTTGAGTGTTAGGGGTAGTGCAGGGATAGGTGTTGAGTGTTAGGGGTAGTGCAGGGATAGGTGCTGAGTGTTAGGGGTAGTGCAGGGATAGGTGCTGAGTGTTAGGGGTAGTGCAGGGATAGGTGTTGAGTGGTAGGGGTAGTGCAGGGATATGTGTTGAGTGGTAGGGGTAGTGCAGGGATAGGTGTTGAGTGTTAGGGGTAGTGCAGGGATAGGTGTTGAGGTGTTAGGGGTAGTGCAGGGATAGGTGTTGAGTGTTAGGGGTAGTGCAGGGATAGGTGTTGAGTGTTAGGGGTAGTGCAGGGATAGGTGTTGAGGTGAGTGTTGAGGTGAGTGTTGGGGTGAGTGTTGAGGTGAGTATTGAGGTGAGTGTTGAGGTGAGTGTTGGGGTGAGTGTTGAGGTGAGTGTTGGGGTGAGTGTTGAGGTGAGTGTTTGGGTGAGTGTTGAGGTGAGTGTTGGGGTGAGTGTTGGGGTGAGTGTCGGTATGGGAAGAGGCGCGCACCTTCCCGCTTCTCCGCATCTTGTCCACCTCCGTCCATCATCGCCCAGCGCGTGGAGGGAGACTGAAATAAGTTCCACGGGAAATTCTCCCCACTCTCTCCCTGCCTACTCTCCGCTCTCACCCAACTCTCTCCTCCCCGGTCCTCTCCCAATTTCTCCCCACTCCCTCTCTCTCCCCACTCCCTCTCTCCACACTCTGTCCCCTCACTCCCCGTCTCTCCCCACTCCCCTGTCTCTCCCTACTCCCTGTCTCTCCCCACTCTGTCTCCCCACTCCCTGTCTCTCCCCACTCCCTGTCTCTCCCCACTCTCTCCACACTCTGTCTCCCCACTCCCTGTCTCTCTCTCTCTCCCCACTCTGTCTCCTCACTCCCTGTCTCTCCCCACTCTGTCTCCCCACTTCCTGTCTCTCCCCACTCCCTGTCTCTCCCCACTTTCTCCCCACTCCCTGTCTCTCCCCACTCCCTGTCTCTCCCCACTCTCTCACTGCCCTCTCTTCTCCCCGCCTCTCGCTGCGAATGAGCGCTCCCCGCGATCGGCCGCTAACTTTTTTTCTCCCCCACACCGGGCCCCCTGCCCCCTGCACGTGCGCGCCTCGTGACGTCATCGCGCACGGCGTCGGAATTCTGAGGAGACGTCATCGCGCGGGGGCCGTCGATGACGCAATCGCGCGCGGGTCGTCGATGACGCCATCGCGCGCGGGCCGAAGATGACGTCAGAGCGCGTGGGCAATCAAGCGCGGTGACGTCACGGCGCCGCTGTGCGCGATGACGTCACCCCTCCCCACGCCCGGTGACATCATTTTCTCGTAACTCACTCCCAGAAGGCCCCGCGGTTAACCGGAAGCGTAATTTTTTGTCATCTGGAAGGGACAGCTTTATACGGAGACGTTGGCCCGCTTATCAACTTTTGCGACTTTTAATCTCCGCAACGACGCTCGCAATTAGAATTTGATTCCCGGATGATGCTGCTGGGGTCTCGACGCCAAACGCGTCACCGGTTTATTCTTTTTTTTGGGGGTGGGGTGGGGTTTGGGGATGAGGGCGCATCTGTTACCGATGCCCTCGTGACGTCATCGGCGAGCGGTGATTGCGTCATCGACGCGCGCGAGCGCCTCCGCCAACCTCGTGGGTCCACCGACACGTGGCCGAGCGTTCGCCCGGCTTCGACTTCTTCTGCCGCCGCAGCCGCCGCTGACCGCTGCTCGCTGCTCTCTGCCAGAGCCGCCGAGTGGAGATTTCGTCGCAGAGTCCGAGGAAACATGCGTCCGCTGACGGAGGAAGAGACGAAGGCTCTGTTCGAGAAGTTATCCAAATAGTGAGGAGCGCTGGTGGGGTAGGGTGGGCGGACGGCGTTTGTGTATTGCTCAGGCTAAAGCGACGTCGCCTAGGGCTAGCTGCGGCCTAACAGCGAGACGTGGGGTCAATTGTAGCTACAGTTGCAACAGCAGATTTGTTGTTATAGAGTAGATCATGCTTACATTTCTGATAACGTTTCATTACGAATTACGTAATTGAACCCACGCCTGGCTAACATTGAGCAGAGGCCGGTATTCTCGCGACGTAGGCCTACATTTACCGTCGAAATCATTTCCGAATATGGTCTTCGCACCACTGTACACCGTAAGAAGAGTCTCTTTTGCATGACTACTAAATAATCGATCGTTTTAACGCAAAACACCAACTTTACAGTTGAGATTAGCAAATGTATTTTTGAACGGAATGTTTCTGGCTGCGTTTTTTTAGTCCACGGTGCGTTAAACTCGGCCGCGCGTCGTTGCCTCGTCTCGTCGCCAGCGTCGGGGACAATGTGAAGATGCTTCTGGACAGACCCGATGGGTCGTACTGCTTTCGCTTGCAGAGGGAGCGCGTGTACTACATGAGGTATGCATGCGTACCGTAACGTTGAACTTCGCTGCTGGGCAATTTGGAAGGCGGTCGCGCTCACAACAGCAACGGAGGGCGGGAGGAGAGCGACGCTCACAACAACGCCGGGGCGGATAAAGTGTAGCGAGTCGGCACAGTAGAGCGCGCAGCAGTCGGTCGGTCAACGCGTGGCACCTGGGGTCTGCCCCGTGAGCCGTGGGCGAAACCTTCGACGTTCTTCATGGCCTCGGTGCACCTGGCCTGGCACAGATGCCGCGACGTCACCGCCGCTTTGTGGCGAATGGCGGATGTTGTTGAGCTTCTTTCGCACCGTACGTAGCCAACCGTGCTCATCGGAGTGGTTGGTGTCTTTCGGACATTAACCGTTTAAATAGTTAATAGACTTTATAAATGAGCTTTGAAGGCCAACACACTTCACGCTGTTCGGTGCGGCCTGTTGAAGGGGGTGGACCGGCTCCGATGTGACTTGCCATTGATGTTAGCCGTAAGCGGTAATCCAACTCTAAGATACGAGACCAGATGATGGTTTACGAGTATTTAGTGTGAACTCTTGACCCAACTGTAATGATGTAAATATTATAACTTGGTCTCCGCACGAAGCGGGGGGGGGGGCGGGAAGTAATTCGACCTCTCGACCAAAGTGTTTTATGGAGTCTGTAAGTTGAAAAAATCTGGACAGGTTTCCACATTCAGGGTTTCGTCAGCGGAGTCGGGCTTGTTGAAACAGGTCCCTGCAGGGTGGGCTGGTAGGACAAGTCTCTGCGCTGTCTATTGCTGATTTTACACCCCAACAGCACGAGATTTCACTTCGTTAAAGTATTGAAAGGGGACGGACGGACACATTAATCTATTGCAGGCTGGTACACTCAGTTTACAACTTCGTTCCTACCAGTATAATGTTGCTTTATCGCGTAGGACACAGCCACGAGCACCATGGGACCTGTTACGGAATGAAGACCAAATAAACAATAAACGAGACCACATGATTAAACAAAAAAAAATATTCTGCAGTTAAACTTCAACATTGCTTGAATTGCCATTCACCTCTTCTGCAGTTTCCCTCGGTCGTCAATTTTACCCCGCAATTTGGTGTGGCCAAGAGTAGCAGCAGAAATGAAACCGCTGCTTTGCAAGTGCGTCGCTAATTACCACGTGTGCTGCTTGTCGTGTACCTGCCTGCGTTTCGCGAAAATCTCAGCGACAAGCTGCTGCGGATGGCGACGAGCGTGGCTCGCGAGCACCTTGTGTGCGTAGGAACGTGCATGGGGAAGTTCTCCAAGACGCGCAAGTTCCGCCTGCACGTGACGGCGCTCGACTTCCTCGCGCCGTATGCCAAGGTGCGGCGAGCGGACACTCGCGCAAACTCCAGAGGCCGTGCGGGACACAAGAAGCAGTCGGCCGGAGGCAGGGGAAACGGAAGGTCCCCCCTGAGCTTGGGCTTAAAGTAAAACTCAAGGGGCTGCTTGTCCCCGGATTAGCGATCCTCTCGGCAAGGCTCGCGTCGATTTCGAGTTAAAGGGGGAACGTCTCTACTCGGACGGTGTTGTAGAGACTCGCTTCTCTCCCGCTGTTCCAGAGAGCTGACAGATCGTCACAATTCGGAGTCAATGTTCCATTGAATAGTCCCAAGATTTTGCTGTTTTTACTACCAACCCGGTCCTGGGCCTTGCCTAGGTCGACTCAACCTTAAATAAATGATAAAACTATAAACGATTTTATTTTCTCAGTTAAGGCCCACTGACCCATATAGCTCGTTTTCAGAAGTGACCTGGCCACAAATGATAGCTTTGCAAAAGTGGCTTACCATGTGGAAATTTATAGCAGCTAAAAATACTCTTAAACGGACGTCTCTAAATGTGGTGGGAAAAACATGAGGACCCAGAGAAATATCCACAAGGCCACAGGGAGAACAGGCCAACTCCAAACATGCAGGCATCGGTCGGGATAAAACCCACGATATCCTGTATACCAGGCAAGGTAGTTAACATCTCGCCACCGTGGCTTGAGGAATGCTCTTGCTCCCTCGGGAGTGAATCTTTTAAGCCCCCAGTATATATGGTGGCAGTGCAGATTCGTCAGCAATCTTGTTTTTTTTTACTTAATTCACCACCGGACGGCTGGGGGACGAGAGCTCCAGACTATGGAGGGACAAGAATGTCTAAGCTTGAACAGAAACAGTGTCAGCAGCACGGATGGCTGAGGGAATGGAGTTTCAGTTTATGGAGGCACCAAAGGAGAATGGGTGAAGGTTAACTATGGGGCCTTGACAGAAAACCTTGGTTGCTGGAGCAGAGTACACGGAGGGGAGTTAAGAGGGAGATGAGAGGTAGGCAGGAGCGAGGCCATGGAGGATATTCACATTTATCTGGGATTGCATTGGGAGGCTGTAGAGGGATCGGAATATTGGGGTGACGTCTCATTTACAGGTGACGGGTGGGAATCGGAATCTTTATTGAGAGCGGCAAATAACGCCAAGCCCGTGACATTGCACGACTGTTACCGGTTGGATCGCACGAGTGGCTATGTTAACCTCTCGAACGTGATCGTCTTATAGCCACAGATTTGCGCGTGCCTGGTTAAGCGGTCACTTTCAGACATGTCAGCTGTGAATTGTGGCTATCAGCTCGCAAACGCTCGCTGTTCTGTGCATTTGTTTGTATGTATGTTGAATTTATTTTGCCCCGTACGTAGCCAACCGTGCTAATCTAGATTTAAAAGTGCATAGTTCCAGTGGCTTCCTAATATGGGAAGGAAGAGCGTTCCAGACGGCCACTGAAGCGCATCCAAAAGCGCACGTTGCGGTGTAACTACCGTTTTTGTTCAACGGCCCACCAAAAGCTGCCGCTTTGAGGATGGGCAGGAGTTCGCGTGATGATGGTTTCAGGTTCCCCCGATGAGGTCGGCGAGGTAATTGCGTTTGTCGCGTGTCGCAGTACAAAGTGTGGGTGAAGCCCAGCTCGGAGCAGTCGTTCCTCTACGGAAACCACGTTCTCAAGGCGGGGCTCGGCCGCATCACGGAGAACACGCCGCAGTACCAGGGCGTCGTCGTCTACTCCATGGCCGACGTGCCCCTGGTGAGCTCCGCCACGGATGTCGAAGAGGTCCCATTGGTAGCGTGTGCGTTCGTGTGCGTGCGCGATTTAAGGTATCTCAGAAGTAGTTGTGCAATGTCTTCTTAAACGGGCCATTTGATAACATGGTGGGCGGGGGGGTGGGGTGAGATGCAGTTTCTCTGCAAGAGTTTGGAACGGATCCTTCCTACTTGTTACATCGTGTCATTAGCACAATTGGAATACAATTGTGGGAAAAATAAACTTGCGTGTAAAAAGAAATATAAAACTTTACTTGCGTCTCCGCGTGAAAAGATGTTTTAATCTGTTGGCCGATTGAATGGAAGTCCATTTATTTGGCCTGTTGGAACGCATCGCACGTTCACCCTTTGTTGCAGAGATTCACGATTCGAATCCAGTGGGCCACGCTGGATATTACTGCACTGTTTTAACCATATGCGGGATTTTATTTGAAAAAGTTTAAAGACTCTGCTATTTGCAAGAGTAGACCATTGTGCTAGCATCTGCGTCCACATTTGTGAAATTACCCGCAAATAACTGTTGGGATTATGCATAGCAATCGTCGCCCCCTACTGGCAGACTAAATGCCCCAGGTCACTTGCAAATTACTCATCCCCTGGTCTCTTGAGTTTTCGCCCAGTTCAACAAAATAAACTAATGTCCAATTTATTAGAAAACCCAGGGTGTTCCTATAATGCACAAGTCTTTATATTCAGGAGATGGTGTGTGCGATGGCTTGCTGCGTGTAATGAGTAGTTGTCGGCAGTGGTGTTGGTGCGACGCCCCTGCTGGTATGGCGAGTACGATCGCAGGGGAGTGCAGAATATCGTGGGTTTGATCCCGATCCAGACACCTGTAATATTTGGAGCTTGCATGTTCTCCGTGATCATGCGGCTTTTTTTCTCCGGGTTTTCCCGGTTTATTTTCCCCCTTTCCACATTTAGAATCAACATCACGCAATTCTATTATTTGGCTGCTATACATTTTCACTTTGTTGAGCTATCATTTGTGGCCAGGTCTCTTCTAATAATAATCAACTTTAATTTTTACATTGCGTCATTCATGTCAACAGCATCCCACAACGCTGCGCGATTTTATTTGACCTGTTGAACGCAAGTCGGGGCAGCGACGACGCCCAGAGGCCACATCTCTGAGCCAATAGCTCATTGGGCTTTACCTGGTAGAATAAAAAGTTTATATGTAGGTTTTCGCGACCGCTATTATCCATGAGTTTTTTTTTTATTTATTTAATGGAATGAATATACGGTTAAACCCGCCACCACCTGCTGCAGCCAATTCGTAGGGTTTGTAACAAACTTGATTGGCTGTGGCAAACATTACTAATTGGCTGTGGCAGGTGGTGGTGAATTTAATGACACATTTACGCGATTTAATAAAAAAAAAACTTACGGAAATGGGTGATCATGAAAACAGTGAAAGTAGAGATGCTGTGTGCGGCGATGTTAGCGTAGTTATCACCGCTGTCCCTGTCACACCGCCACCTTGCAGGGTTTTGGCGTCGCCGCCAAGTCGACGCAGGAGTGCCGCCGCTGCGACCCAATGTCGGTGACGGTGTTCCAGCAGGCCGACATTGGGGAGTACATCCGCTGTGAGGATACGCTCACGTGAGCGTGCCAACCCAGGTGAGCGAGCACGACCCGAAGAGGGTTAAGGGGCAAGGGATGGCCTATCGGTTATCGGGGCATAACGATTGGCCGATGTTCCAGAATTGTTATTAAATGTCGAGATTCGAATCAAGGATTCTGGCACAGGAAAAGCCACTGTTGTGGCGTGATTACTGCTTGGAAAGATTCAGTCCTCACATGAAATTATTTTGACTTGAGGGGTCGTGAGTGAGATAGATTTTGGTGATCTGAACCCATTACATGCAAAGCAATAAGGTGTTCGCAGTAGTGCTGTATAGTTGTCCTGTGTACTATTCAGCAGACTGAAAAGGAGCTTTTGTCGTTCGTCAGATTCCTCCAGTGTAAATATTTTGGTTCTTAAAATGAATACGTTTAAAACTAAGTGATTAAATGCGTGCACCGTGAGCATTCGTCAGCATTGATATCTGAAGCAATGCATCATTACACACCCCTCGTGATTGGGGATTGCGTTAATTCCATGGGTTAAGCCTGATCAGTGGTGACCAGCAACTGGCTGTAGAAGAGAAAGTGGTTTAATCACGGGCGGCTGTAACCTGGACTTAAACCCAGCACCGACTGCTGTGCCATTGAGGCGGCTCATGGGGGGGAGGGGAATCTTTAATTCATTACTGTTTAAACATTTCAGAGATTTAATTTTAGAAAAATAAGGGAGATTGCAGAACCTTGATATATGCATCACTTGGCAACACTAAGTAAGCACCCATGACCTGCATGAGGTTTTCATCTAGCAATGCTTACGATGGGCAGGCTGTACACTCAGGACAGGTTGAAGGGAGAGAAGGGCCATGACCGGTCCATATCACTCACCACTTGTGTTAGCCATAGCCAGGAATCGAACCCATGTCACCAGATTCAGTGTAGTGTGCTCACAACTGTGCCACCCACCACTGCACCCGCTAATTATAATAACAACTTCTCTGAGTTTTTACTACAGTCATCGAAGTGCAGATGTACAGTTGTAGCATTCATGACACGCCTACACATAAGAGGGCTACTACCAAGGTAAACGGGTCTATCATGATACGATGGAGAGTTTTGTATGCAAACATTTCTGATGAATGCCTGTGTTTTTCAGAATAACTCGAATGTGGAGGAGATTCCTACAACTCAGTGGAATGCAACTGTTTTACAAACCCACGCATACTATATATATAAAAAACGTTGGCGATTTAAGTTAAAAAAATCCAGATTGCTGACGAATCTGCACCGCCATCATACATACTGGGGGCTTAAAAGATTCACTCCCGAGGGAGCAAGAGCATTCCTCAAGCGTTAAGGGAAGGTCACAATCTGCAATAGGCAAATGCGTATATTTTTTGCCAATTTCCGTTTTCAACTGTTTCTGCTATACTTACATTTGTGTATATTACATTTCATTAAATGCAACACTTCTACAAATGCCTCCGATCACGAATACAGTGCCAAGTCCCAATGAGGATTGCTGACTGGTGCACATTTTTATCTACTGGACATCTGTGAAAGAGCTTTATAGCTCATCGGATTCCTCTAGTATACATTCTTTGGATTCGGAAATGCCCACTGTGGGGAGAACACAGCTGTTATATTTACATTTCCATAGGGTTGCTAAATTGAAGCAACTCGACTGCACTGATCTACGGCATGTTACCTTAATTCACCAGAGCAAAACTTCATTTTCTGTTAAATCGATCTCTCCCACTGTACAGTGTTTAATAAACTCGAGGCCCTGGACACGTGAACACGGGGTTGCTGTCGTTGCTTGCCTGATGATGTAAAAAGCGGTTTGAGGGTTAAGATAGATGTCATGATTGTGTACTTAAATTGTGCACGTTGCATGTGCTTATGGTTGGTCGCTTTCCCCAAACTCGGGAGCAAACCAGCGCACCTTCCGACGTTTACACACCCGTTCATGCTATTGGATGATTAATGTGAAGTGACGTTCCACCCCTAGTGATTGGGGATTGTGACGAGGCTGCACATCTGCCTTGGCAGTTTTGCTGAAAATAACGTCTAATCAAATAAGTTAACCAGGGGGCTTTCCATTGCTCTGAAACAGGTTAAGTGTTTTAAGGGGTCCCTTTATAACCGTGGTTTGTTAATACAATTTATAAAAAGCTAAACTATTTTGTAACAATGTAAGGCCGAGCTATATAGCTCTTCAGAAGCGACCTGGCCACATGATAGCTCAATCAAGTGGCTTGTGGAAATGTATTGCAGCCAAATCATCGAAAATGTTTACAAATGTGGAAGGAAAAACCGGAGGACCCTGAAAAATCCACGCGACGACCGAGAAAACACAAACGCCAACCATATGGGTGTCGGTCTGGATTGAACCTACCTCCCATGGGCAGCAGCGTCAAGTAGCCATGGGGACAGGAAGCGTAACGAGGACAAGGAATTAAACCTAGGGGAACTTGGCTGATGGCGACAAGTACTGTATAAGGGGCGATGTTGCCAACATGTTCCTCTTTTGGCCCCTCAATGGCATTCCAAGCATTCTAGTTTTTTAAAAAAGATTGTTGAATGACATCTGAAAAGTGACACCCTTTAGAAAGTAGAATGCTTGACACGACAGGTTCTGTCATGTTAATTGTCAAACTTTGGACAATCATTGCTCGTAACGAAATCTGCTGAGGACATTTAAACCAATGGGTCTGTGAGAAGAGCAGAGTGCTGCACATTTCTGGCTACAGGAAGATGTTAACCCAACCAATCGGGAACAAATTAAAAAAAACCCAACGCAATGAGTTTGACAAGTGGTGAAGCAACATTGTTGTTTTGATTAGCCTGGTTTGCACTTTGATAAGTGACCACCAGTGCTTGCCAGATGTGTGGTGTGGGGGTGTCGGCCAGGCAATGGCATTGTTGAATGTCACCCCCTCCTGGTCCGGTGGCGGATTTAGATTCTCAGTTACCTCGTATATGAAACAAAGCTCATTGATGACAATTTACCAATCCCCACATGCAGCACCCCGGCAAGAGTCTCAAAACTCAATGAGGCCATCCTGGGGGAATAACTGGTATAACACGATATTAAACTGGTAAATAACATTCCACAATATAGGCTTTAAGTGACGTCGCGCCGTTTAATGCGAAAAGAAGTCGTCCACGTTTGGGGAGGGGGTGTGGGTATATATTGTTAGGAGTGACTAAATGCGCAAGACGTCGATGTTTTAAATTATTATTTTTTGCTTGCTAGGTCAACTTCAAGGTTACAATGGTCGAGCGCCGTGGCTGTGCGAGATCCAATCGGCGCGCCCCGTTTAAATCATCGCGTCACGTTCCAAATGGCCTTGACAAAAAAATACAGCGGGTCAACATTAAACATTGCAGAAGAATTAAAATAACTCGTCAATCACTAATGTACTGAGAAGATAAACGATATACACATTGATGCATCGTTAACCACGGGGTACGCTCCTGTGCGCGTGGTTGCAGTTGTGCTGTATGGCTCCGTTTTTGGGTTTTACCGTCCACGTATTGAGTGATGTGACGTTTCACACCACGTTGGGAGGCTTCTTCAGGAACTGAGAATTAAGTTGCCCAAGCTTCCAGAATGGAGCAAAACGTTGAACATTATACCCAACAGCATGCGATACAACCCAAAAAACGCATTGCAGCGCTATTAATCATGTTTGTAGGCTAGGAAATAAATCTGCTGTTAAGTGTCGCTAATGTTGGTTCTTTATTTAGAAGTTACAGTAGCCACAAGGCAAATTTAAATGTTAACTCATATCGATTACAATACCCACTCATTCGTTATATTTTTCACTTAGAATGTTCGTTTTATCGTTTAACTTTTTTACGTTTACTTTTGTGATTTTTATATTTGAATCATTTGTTGCATGAAAGCTGTGGCTTTGTACACAAACCGCTTGGCTCTCAATGGACTCCACTGACCCTGTTATTCTTTTGCACGTTTGTTATGAAAAAGAAAGTTAACAGTGGAAAAGTTAAAAAGCCAGAGCAACTTCCGAGCGAGATTAAACCGTCGTACAGGCACCCATTCTCAAGGTTTCGGAGGAGCAGCTAAGCGGTTGAGCTTCAAGCTGCAAAGCGTTGCGCGCACACAACATGCGCTGCGCTCACCCAAACACTACCCTGCCGGACGCTTCAGTCTGTCACCTTTTTTTTCTGTTATAGCATCACTCCCAACGAGTGACACTTGGTCAGGGAATATTTCAATTGTACGGCGCCGGTCGACAATTCTCGGTTCAAAACGGCTTACGGGTGAAGACCCCCTTAAGAATGTGCTATGTATGGTCACCCAGCATGGCCAAACTGCTCTACCCAGGGCTTAATTATTGCCGGGATTGTCCGGGTCAACCCAGAAAATATTTCACACCCGGTACATCACATCCAGAACATTTCTGGCTATGGCTGTATGGACTCGTCACGTGCCACCTACTTCCCAGTCTACCAGCGACCCACAAATTATTAATCAAGAAATAAAGCCCTGGCTTATTACCTATGTACAGGATGTAGTCACACACTGCTCACTACAAACAGAAATTGCCATGTTCTGTTATTATTTTTGACTTCGTATCAATTTTCACTTTAAAAAAAAAACTTTCATCGACATGCTAAACTTTTACAGGTTTTTTTTTTTAATATGCATTTAATTTCTCTAACCAACTTAAACGCGCGCTTTCCTTGCTCCGTTAAAAACATTCCAACAGCGATCTCAGGCTTGGCAAGCGGGTTTAAAACGCGTCTCCCGAGAGCTGCAACGGTAAACCGTCACCCTGCCACACCCCCCGCGGGGTTGCAGGACGCGGTGACGCGTTTGTGACGGACGCACGCTACAACTTGGTACACTTATAGCAGAGGCTGGACCCCCGCACCCCCCCCCGCTGCTAAAAACCACGCCGTGGCTGAACACCGCTCTCGCCGCCACAGCAGCGTCTCAACATTTTGCGCGACAATTGACGTTTGCTACAAAACGCGTTTGGGGAGGAATGCCACGATGTTTGTATTTGCCGCTTGACATACGGCTAAACGTCTCCAATTCCGTTCATTGCTATACATACGTATGTAAACATTGGGGCAATTTACATATGTGCATATGCGTGACGAGGAATACTTCCATGGGGTTTACCGCCAGTCGTTTGTAAATGGCTGAATCGTGCGAGTCTCATTCCTTTCGTCTCAAATCGTACAGGCGCCAGTACACACGCTTGTCAAATATCCACAGGTTTAATATTGTCGGGATGCGTTCAGTATTGTTTCAAATTATTTTTCAAGAAACAAAAAATAGGTGTTAGACGGACAAAAAAAAAACATTTTTTAAAACAACAAAGGGGGGTTGGAGTTATATAATCATCGTTCATACAATTACACTCGTGTGTTGCCGCTTATTTTGTTACGACACACACTTTAAATGCCTCCACGGGAAGGAGGTGGTGGAGTAGTACAAAATAACATACCGCGTTAAACTGCTTGTGCTGGACAGACAAAAAAAACACGGTGGGGTGGGAAAGGCAGGCGGGGGAGCCGGGCGGTGGGGGGGAAATGGAGTTTAAAGGATGAGGAGAAAAAGGAGCTCAAAAGATGGGAAGGATTTTGACGATGACGAGGTTTGTCGGGTTATGGGAGGGGTGGGGGTACGGTGGGGGGGAGTAAAAGGTTTTGTGGGTTGCAGAGAGACATCCAGGCCCATAGGATGGGCTATGGTCTAGGTGGCAGCACCACTCGTATATGATTATTCGAATTTAATTATAACCATCATCACTACTGCTGCCGTTGCTGCCGTAGCAGCTCTTAGAGCAGAAGGCACTTTCTCCTCTTCTTCGGCTCGGGCGGTTCCAGCGCTGCCAAGATGGCTTCATCAAATACATTCTTCAGTCCTTTCTGTTGGCGGTAGTGGGGGGGAGGGGGGGGGGTGGTCACACGCAAGGGAAGAGGAAAAGGGGATACTCAGCACGAGCCAACGCCATGAAACCACCGCACCCCCCCCCACCACCCCCAGCAATGGTTCGGATTTAAAATCCACCGTGTCATGACGACGACTACTAATGGTCTTGGTGCTCGGTAGACCTCCCACGCATGCGCTCCTCCAGGGGACGCATTGAAACAAACAAAAGCATTGTCATGACTTGCCACAGCCTGTACACATGCCAAGCTCCGTCGTTCCTTTCCGCTTGTGCGCATGACTTTTCTAAGTGTCTCTCGTATTAAACAATCGGATGCACCGCAAGCGAATACACTGCAAGCGAGTACACTGCAAACGGACCGCGCGTGCTATGGATGATGTGGTGTTCGATTGGCTAAGGCAGCTCCCGTGATCCGCCGCAGCTGTGTGTGAGCGTGACAGATGGAGGGGGGGGGGGGCGGCACCTGGGTGAGCGCAGAGCACTCGACGTATTTGACAGCCTTGAGGTCGCGCGCCAGCTTCTCGGCCGCCTCACACGTGATGGGCTTCTGCTTGTTCTTGGCCAGCTTGTCGATGGTGCTGGGGTCGTCGCGAAGGTCGATCTGCGTGCCCACCAGCAGGAATGGCGTCTTGGGGCAGTGGTGCGTGATCTCGGGCACCCACTGTGGAATGGGCAGCAAAAGGGCAATTTGGACCGGCGTTTTGACACCGGTGGAATTAGCGCTGTACGCGGCATTTGACACGTTCTATGGCAGCATTATGCCTATTTTCTTTGTAATCTATCCGCTTTTCAACCAAAAGGACAAGCGATTTAGACCAGCGTTTTCAAACCAGTGACATTCGTGCTGTCGGTGACATCTGACAAGT